CGTCTTTCTACCGTCATCGCCAGAAAGATCTGATCCCATTCTTCGTCCAGGAAGGTGATATTGCTGTATGTAACAATGTTCATGGTTTAATCTCAGCCATCGGCGTATGCTATGATCCCGATGAGTGGAGGCTGTTCATTGATGCTTCAAAGGCGAGTCTTAAAGCTGTTTTGCTCCATAATGGCAATCAGCTGCCGTCAGTTCCAGTTGCTTACGCAGTTTCAATGAAAGAAACGTATGAAAACTTGAAAGAGCTTTTAAGGTGCATCAACTATGATGAACATCAATGGTCGATTTGTGGTGACCTGAAGGTGATTGCTATCCTACTTGGACTTCAAGGTGGATATACTAAGTACTGCTGCTTCCTCTGTGAGTGGGACAGTCGTGCGAGAGAAATGCACTATGCCAAAAGAGACTGGCCATTACGCCAGTCATTGCAGCCTGGAGAAAAAAATGTTCACTATCCAGCACTTGTAGACAGCAATAAGATCTTATTACCTCCATTACACATCAAGTTGGGATTAATGGAAAACTTTGTTAAGGCAATGGACAAGAATAAAGCAGGTTTCAAGTACCTGATTAGCAAATTTCCAGCACTTAGTGCTGCAAAAATAAATGAAGGAGTCTTTGTTGGGCCACAGATTTGTAAACTTATTCATGATGATGAGTTTCTTTCTCTGTTGCGTGGAAAGGAAAAGGCTGCCTGGACAGCATTTGTATCAGTGACATCAAATTTTCTTAAAACAATAAAACACCAGACTACAAGAAAGTGGTAGAAAATCTCATCCAGACTTACAGAAATCTGGGTTGCAACATGTCTCTAAAAATTCATTTTCTACATTCGCATCTGGATTTTTTCCCACCAAACTGTGGAGCAGTGAGTGATGAACACGGAGAGCGCTTCCATCAAGACATTGCAGCTATGGAAAGAAGATATCAAGGTAAATGGAGCCCATCAATGCTTGCTGACTATTGCTGGACAGTTGTAAGAGATAGCCCTTTCCTCGAATACAAGAGAAAAGCCAAGAGAAGCAAAACCGACACAAACTGAAGACAAAACTAGTGAGAATCCTAAGTATTAAAATGATTCAACTTAGCTTATGGCTATAATTTTTCTTGGTAATCCTATGCAATATATTATGCCATTTAGGCTTTGTTATGTAGTCAATATCACTTGCTTTATATTTGTGGAAAGACATCTATCTATATAATTATTGTGCATTATGTAGTCATTACGCCTATAGTAGAAAAACTTTCCGTTTACAGAAAAACTAGAGCCAATTGACAAATTTCATTGTTATATTTGAACTCAGAATGTGAAATTCATTAAGAAATGGATCCTTTTGTTTCCAAAACTGGCAAAAAATAAAAATGTGTTGAACAGTGACATTTGAGTTTACAAACGCTTTGATGTGTGACACAATTTAAAAAGGTGGAGACATAATTTTAAAAGGTGGAGATATTAAATGAAGGACTTGTTGCAAAAAACACCAAATATTGGTGTGCCCTTCCCATCTTACTCTCACCTATCTTCCTCCTGTCACAGGTGGTGCCATTGGAATTCCCTCCTGGGGAAAGTTCTGGCTGGCAGTGCTCAATGTCTACAGCTGGGAGGGGATGAACACATTATTTCCAGAGATGTGGTGAGTTATTTCTTTTCTTTTGTACGATATGGTGTTCCTATGATTCAACATTTAGACATTGGTTTAACATTATAAAATACATACTACCAAGAGGTAGAGGCTACTAAAACCGCTCTCAAGAGCAAATCCTTTTCTATGTTTTAAAAAAAATCTTTTTTGATCACAACATTTTTGTGATCACTTCACATTTTACAAGTACAGTATCCATTTGTATTTATCTTCCAAGTATTTTCAAGCCCTAATGAAGGGACGACCCCTTGAAATTCTGAAATGTATTGGCTATTATTGAAGGTAACTTTCAATAATATTACATTTTTTGCACTTCAAAAAAATATGTCTGGTGCTATCCTCACCACATTCCAATCTACATTTATTCACTCACAGATCTGGAAAACATGGCATTACCCAGAAGTCCTTAATTCTTTTGGAGAATGTTATTGTCAGGGCAGGAGCTGAGGAACGGACAGGCAGGCCTAACAATGTAACGCACTGGCTGACGACAACCACCACCCACAGACCAAAGTCCCTCAGGGCGCGGAGTCTAAGTCCCAGGCTGCCCTTCACCAGGGCCCCTGATGGTGGGGATGGACTTGACGCAGCCAGGAACCAGGTCGCGCCCCCGAGACACCTCAGCTGCGGTAATGGCCGCCGCCAATGGCGTGTAGCTGGTGGAAGAGACAAAAGAGTAGTCAGACAAGCCGGGGTCAACAACAACAGGACAGAACAGTACAGGACAGCAGACGAGAATCACAGGTCACGAGCCGGGTTCAGCAACAGAGGGTCATATCAAAGGAGAATACAAAGAATAGTCAAGACAAGCCGAATCAGATACCAGGAGAGTCACGAGAGTCAGAACAGAGTAACAGCAACACAAAGACACAAGACACAAGTGCAAAGAGCATGTGCGGGCCACAGGCTTATATGTCATCAGCCACACCCCTCTGGAGGATGGACCACAGAAACCTGAAGGCATAAAAGGGCTCCCATCATGCACAGCAGAATCCAAGATGGACACCAGCACATGAAGTAACATAACCACAGGGAAAAGGTAGGACCTTGACAGTACCTCCCCCTCAAGGACCCCTCCCCCTCCGCGGGTCAACAAAAGGTTTCTGAGGAAAGCGGGTATGAAAAGCGCGGAGGAGGGCAGGAGCATGGACATCCGCGGAAGGAACCCAGGAACGCTCCTCGGGACCATAACCGCGCCCAATGAACCAGGAACTGTAATTGACCGCGCACCAATCGAGAGTCCAGGATCCGGCTCACCTCATACTCCTCATGACCGTCAACCCGGACAGGACGGGGCCGAGGAAGAGAGGTAGTGAAGCGATTGCAGATCAGAGGTTTCAACAGGGAAACATGAAAGATATTGGAGATCCGCATCCCAGACGGAAGGGCAAGTGCATAGGCCACCGGATTCACTTTGCGGAGAATGCGGAAAGGACCGACAAAACGGGGAGCCAGTTTGGGTGTGGGCACCCGAAGATTGAGGTTGCGAGTAGACAACCACACCCGATCGCCGACCTGGTATGAAGGAGCGGGCAACCGTCTGCGATCAGCCTGGAACTTCTGGCGCTGAGCTGAGTCCCTCAAGGCCCTCTGGATCTGCCCCCAAGAAGAACGCAGGGCAGCAAGATGGTTCTCCACAGCCGGAATGTCCTGTGGTGAGAACCTCTCAGGTAATACCGCGGGTTGAAACCCATAGTTGGCCATGAAGGGAGACATCCCGGTGGAGGAGTTGACCGCCGAGTTCCTGGCAAACTCTGCCCACGGCAGGAGATCGGCCCAATCATCCTGATGGTCTGAAATATAACACCGAAGGAATTGTTCTAAGGCCTGATTGGAACGCTCCGCAGCCCCATTGGACTGCGGGTGGTAGGCTGATGAAAAGGAGAGACTAATACCCAACTGGGAGCAGAAGGCACGCCAGAATCTGGACACGAACTGACTCCCGCGGTCTGAGACAATCACCTTAGGTAACCCATGCAGGCGAAAAATCTCCCTGGAAAAGACCGTGGCCAGTTCCTGCGCTGTGGGTAATTTCCTGAGTGGAATGCAATGGCACATCTTGGAAAACCGATCGACGATCATGAGGATGACCGTATGACCCCGAGACACCGGGAGGTCTACAATAAAGTCCATCCCTAGATGTGACCAAGGACGCTCCCCATTGGGAATGGGTTGCAGAAGACCCAAAGGGAGATGCCGTGGAGACTTATTCTGGGCACAGATCGAACATGCCGCTACATAAGAGGCAATGTCGGCACGGAGGGTTGGCCACCAGAATAAGCGAGAGACGACCCAACACAGCTGGTTCTTCCATGGGATGCCCGGCAGTTTTGGCGTTATGGTAGGTACGCAGCAGACGGGTGCGCAATCCCTCGGGTACGAAACATCTACCCTCCGGCCTCCCGGGAGGAGCATCAGTTTGAGCCGCCAAAATCTGCTCCCCAAGGGGAGAGGTCAGACTGGTGCGAATGGCAGCCAGGATCTGATCTGGAGGTATAAGTGAGATTGGCTCAGAGTCCTCCCTGGACAACTCAGAGTATTGCCGTGATAACGCATCAGCCCTGACATTCTTGGAACCAGGCAAATATGAAACCACATAGTTGAAGCGTGACAAGAACAGCGCCCATCTGGCCTGGCGGGGTGTCAATCTCTTGGCCTCCGAAAGATAAGTCAGGTTCTTGTGATCGGTAAGAATGAGGACCGGAACCGCGGAACCCTCGAGCAGGTGCCTCCATTCCTTGAGAGCCAGAATGATGACCAACAACTCCCGATCTCCAATCTGGTAGTTGCACTCAGCCGAGGAAAGCTTCCTGGAGTAGAACCCGCAGGGAAGTAGGGGTCCATCGGGCGACCGACGCTGAGACAGGAGAGCCCCTACTCCCGTCTCGGAAGCATCAACTTCGAGGACGAAGGGCAACCCAGGATTGGGATGCGAAAGAATCGGAGCCGAAGCAAAGGCAGCTTTCAGAGCCTCGAAAGCTCTGATGGCCTCGGATGGCCACTCGTGAGGGTTACTCCCCTTCTTGGTTAGGTCAGAGAGAGGCTTTGCCAATGTGGAGAAGTTCCTGATGAACTTCCGATAGTAGTTGGCAAAACCCAGAAAGCGCTGAATGGGCCGAAGACCATTGGGACGAGGCCACTGCAGAACTGCCGCAACCTTCTGAGGGTCCATGGAAAATCCCTCCGCGGAAATTATGTAGCCCAAAAAGGCAACCTGGGATCGATGGAACTCGCACTTCTCGAGTTTACAAAAGAGTCCGTTCTCACGCAATCGTTGCAGCACCTGCTTAACATCCTGGACATGGGACTCCATGGAGGTAGAGTAAACCAAGATGTCATCCAGGTAAACCACTACGCATTGCTGCAACAAATCACGAAGGACATCGTTTATGAATTCCTGAAAGACCGCGGGCGCGTTACACAATCCGAAGGGCATCACCAGGTATTCGTAGTGCCCAGTTCTGGTGTTAAACGCGGTCTTCCACTCATCCCCCTGTCTGATCCGTACGAGGTTGTACGCCGCCCTAAGGTCGAGTTTGGTAAAGACCGTTGCTCCCTTAAGGCGGTCGAATAACTCAGAAATCAAAGGAATTGGATATGCATTTTTAATGGTAATCCGATTGAGACCCCTATAATCGATGCAGGGCCTCAATTCCCCACCTTTCTTCTTTACGAAAAAAAACCCCGCTCCTGCTGGGGAATTAGACTTACGAATGTGCCCCCGGGAAAGCGCATCCACCACGTACTCCTCCATGGCCTTATTCTCCGCAACCGAGAGAGGGTACACCCTGCCACGTGGAGGAGTGGCCCCGGGTTGCAGGGATATGGCGCAGTCGTAAGGACGATGCGGTGGTAAGGTACCAGCGCGTACCTTATCGAACACGTCCCGGTATTCCCCATAGTCGGTGGGCAACGCAGAGTCCGAGGAGGCACACAATACCTTAACCGGCCCCCGGATGCACCCGGCCCCACACTGTGGAGACCATGAGAGAATCTCGGCTGTTTGCCAATTGAAGGTTGGATTGTGCCTCTGGAGCCAGGGATACCCCAAAACCACCGAATAGTGTGGGGGGAGAAATCACCTGAAAACAGGCCAACTCCCTGTGAACAGCCCCAATGGCTACCTCTATTGGCAGGGTCTCGTGGGTAACCTGCGGCGGCTGCAGGGGCCTGCCATTTATTGCTTCGAGAACCAATGGGGCAGCACGAGCCTGCAGGGGAATGGAGTGCTGCGCAGCAAACGAGCTGTCCAAGAACAACCCACCGGCCCCAGAGTCTACCAACGCCTGGGCCGTCACCGAGCCCCCTGTCCAAGAAAGGACCACGGTGATCAGTGGCTTATCCTTGCGGAACGCCGGGGACGAGGAAACTCCACCCAAGATCTGTCCCCGATATGATCTCAGGTGCGAGCGTTTCCCGGACGGACCGGACAAGACTGCCGAAAGTGCCCACCGAGGCCACAGTACAGGCAGCGACCCTCCCGACGCCGAGCGGCCCGCTCCCCCTCGGAAAGGCGAGCAAACCCCAGCTGCATGGGTTCCCCACCAGACAAGCTATCCCCAGGAGGCGTGGGGAGGAGAGGGAGGAATGGGTGGGACAGAAAACGCAGGTGCCAGTCGATTGGAAGGCCTCCGCAGGCGTTCCTTGAGTGAAGGCCTCTCCCTGAGCCTGGTGTCAATCAGGATCAGGAAAGAGATGAGCTCCTCCAACACCACAGGCAGTTCCTTAGCTGCAATCTCGTCCTTCAATGAGTCAGAAAGACCATGGGAAAACGCAGCCACCAGAGCCTCATTGTTCCAACCGACCTCTGCCGCCAGGGTACGAAACTCTATAGCGTACTCGGCCACGGTCCGGGAACCCTGATGCATGGTCATGAGCAGCTTGGCCGCCGAGGCGGAACGAGCCGGTACGTCGAATACCCTACGGAAGGCATCGACAAAACCAGAAAAATCTTGAATCACCGGGTCGTTCCTCTCCCATAAGGGATTTGCCCAGGCCAAGGCCTTGTCTGAGAGTAGTGAGATGAGGAACCCCACCTTTGACCTCTCAGACGGAAAGGCGTGGGGTATTAATTCAAAATAAATACCCACCTGGTTGAGGAACCCACGACACTGACTCGGCTCACCCCCAAAGCGCTGTGGAAGAGGGGCTGAACCGGTCATACCTCTGGACACCGCGGGTGCCGCATCAGCCGCGGCGGTAGGCACAGCAAGCGGAACAGCAGCGGAAGCGACCACCGGAGCGACAACCGGCCTAATAACACCAGGAGTAAGGTGTGCAGTGCGTGCAAGCAGAGTTTGCAACGCCTGAGCGAACTGATCCAACAGGTGATCCTGTTGATCGAGTCTGGCGACTAGCATTGGGAGCGAAGGCGTGCCTGCACCGTCAGGGTTCATGGCACTTGTGTAATGTCAGGGCAGGAGCTGAGGAACGGACAGGCAGGCCTAACAATGTAACGCACTGGCTGACGACAACCACCACCCACAGACCAAAGTCCCTCAGGGCGCGGAGTCTAAGTCCCAGGCTGCCCTTCACCAGGGCCCCTGATGGTGGGGATGGACTTGACGCAGCCAGGAACCAGGTCGCGGCCCCCGAGACACCTCAGCTGCGGTAATGGCCGCCGCCAATGGCGTGTAGCTGGTGGAAGAGACAAAAGAGTAGTCAGACAAGCCGGGGTCAACAACAACAGGACAGAACAGTACAGGACAGCAGACGAGAATCACAGGTCACGAGCCGGTTTCAGCAACAGAGGGTCAGATCAAAGGAGAATACAAAGAATAGTCAAGACAAGCTGAATCAGATACCAGGAGAGTCACGAGAGTCAGAACAGAGTAACAGCAACACAAAGACACAAGACACAAGTGCAAAGAGCATGTGCGGGCCACAGGCTTATATGTCATCAGCCACACCCCTCTGGAGGATGGACCACAGAAACCTGAAGGCATAAAAGGGCTCCCATCATGCACAGCAGAATCCAAGATGGACACCAGCACATGAAGTAACATAACCACAGGGAAAAGGTAGGACCTTGACAGTTATTTACACTTCCTGTTAGTAATACAGTATGTCACATACACATTCTAATAATCAGTTATGGAATAATGCATAAAAGGTGTTGCTTATATCAACTGTGATGATAATGGGGTCTGGAGAATGGGGTGGACATAATCAAAATTCTTATTCAGCATCAATTGAACAGGTTGATCAGTCAGGCAGGGACACAAACCAAGCCTAAATTCCTTCAGCCCTAGAACACAGTATGTACTGGAATGCTTTTGCAAAGCCTGCAATAAGCAAACCTTTTCAGGAGGACCATAACACCCCAGTCAAAACAAGCCCGACTTTGAAATCGTGCGACTTACATTGAAGTCACACGATTTCAAAGGCAGGGGATATGCTGATTTCAGGTGTGATTTGCAAGATATCTGACACAGATATCTATGCAAATCGCACCAAAAGTAGTGCATGTACTACTTTAGAAATCGATGCTGCTCTGACCAAGTCGGAACCGCACCGATTTGAACATTGTAATTGTGGACATTAGGGTGCGACTTGGCATATGACTTGCAAGTCGCATGGCATGAAAATCGCTTGCGAAGTCGTGCCCAGTGCGACCGGGGTGTAAATCATACATAGCCAGATCATTTACAGCTGTCAATGAAAGCATTTTAAAAAACTAATTGAATGTCCTTGACAGGATAGCTGGCAAAAAAAGCACTGAAATCCTTTTCTGTTTAAAAAGGAAGTGCAGGATTTCAACAAAATAAACATACTGTACAAATGTCACCTAAGTGGATGTAGCATCGATCCACCGCTAGCTCTACACCGAGAACTGAGTGATCAAAGACTGCTGATCACTCAGTTCCCAACTCTACTCTGTCAGTTGCCGCTCTGTGCTCTGCACCTCCAGCTTTCACTGAAGGAAACCAGTGTGACTGGTTCAGGCTCTCAGGGGCGTGTTGAGAAACCGAGCAAGCTGTCGGTCACGAATCTGAGCGATTCCTAACATTATAGTCTGGATTTCTAAATAAAGAGCTTTGGGCATACGTCTCCTTTAATGAACCATCATAAGCAGAGAAGCAGAATCATTTTTAATAGTTATTGAAAAACATTCCAGTGTCCAAGCTTAAGTAAATAAAACCATTGGACAGACCTTGTCCAAGCTAACAGCCCATTAGGCCAAGTTTATTGACCTATTGTATAATAGTTTAGCATGTAGAAAACAGAATACACATTGCTGGCTGAATATGACTCTCTATGAAGAATCAAGATTTAAATTTATTTCATAAATTCTGAACTGATCAAATTACATCAAGAATAAAGAACATATTCACATGTATCAATAAATTACCAGCATTTTTTGACCAAACACAAAGCACATTTAGGTTTGTTCAAAAGGGCAATTTATGTTGAGTGTTATTAGATCATGGTATTTAGTACATTCAAAATATGACCACATTTAGAAAACTGACATCCTGAGAAGGTCTGCTGGATTATTATAACACATTTTAGCACTCCTACCTCCCACTCCTGCAGCTGGGAACTCTCCTTTACCATCAACGAAGAATATCTGCGAAGAGTCTTAATTCTTGAGAGCCACTGATTCATTTTATTGATAATTTTATGCCCATTGATTAAACGTTGCCGAAACCCAAAGAGCTCAGGACGTTAAGTACTCTTCATATATAATCCCCTTTGTTTATTTTTCTTTACTATTGTTTCTCTTTTCATTTATAAAATCCTTTATGTAAATATTTTTCTGTACCACTTCCCTTTTTCTTGTTAAACAATATTTCAAAAACATTACTCTTATCTCTTATACGCTAAGCCAGTCTTATAAAGAATTCCCATCTTTTTTTGATAGTGTTGCTATAGAAGAAATCTGAAATATTCCTGTCTACGTGTCACTGGGTATTACAGACATTTCTGAACAGGCAGACTTGTTATTTATCGTGAATGCTTCATGTTTCTGGTGAAACATGGTGGCAGCTGTTTTGGTGTGTAATGGGTTAACACAGTTACCAGACCCCAGTGTTGGTCAATCTCATTCTATTGGCACCTCAATTGTGGTTCTGCAACCTGGAATATCTCTGAGCCATCACCACGTATTCGTGACAACATGGTACAAGTTTAGCCCCGTTAATCAGAGCACAGTGGGATGCTCTTTTCTGTTTTCAAACCAGCACAAGAAAAGTAACAAGAAGAAATTGTTTGGTCACTATTGGATAGCTTTTTCATTTTATTTAAATTTATGTATTGAAATTTCAGCTTCTGTTTGTGGAGGTTGCCATTTTGTCAGAGCCTCCAGCAAGGAAAGCGGAGAACAGCACAGTATTGAGATCACCAAATCTCACCCCAAATCTCTATTATTCAGAGGCAGCAGAACCTTAGAACTCACACTGCAGATATACAGCCATGATGCTAAAGGCACAGAAGTGCCTAGTCGCCCTCACTTAGCAGAAAGAGCATTGCTATTTTTTGGTGGAATTCCAGACATAAGGTACATTTTGCAGGGTATCGTTTAGGTTCATTTAACTAAATGTCTCTTTTAACAAAGCAGAACTTCACTTTTTGAGTTCAGTTCTACTTTAATCTAGTTCTGAAAATTGTGAAACCATAATATGCTCAGATGTTTCTTTACTGTAAAGAGGTTGCAAAACCATGTGCTAATTTTAGATTGTGAACACTTATTGTTTAGAACCCAATACTTCATATTAAAGAAAAAAATACTACTTCACATATTATATTTCTTTAGTTTTAACATAATCGCATTTTCTTGTTTGTTATCTTTTTCATACATGTGAAAGTACAAGTACTTACATACTTTCTTTTAAATGTCTTTTCAGGCTTTTGCCACAGTGGTTCCCAGCTCACCCCAGCACTCTGTGGTGTCACTGCAGGCAGGTTTACCTACCCATGAGTTATTGTTATGCCACACGGCTGAGTGGCCGTGAGGATGACTTGATCCGCAGCTTGAGACAAGTGAGTGGAAGACCAAGAATCTTCATTATTCTTTCTACCAACAAGTTATTCATAGATATTGTTTTTCTTCAGGAACTCTATGTGCAAGACTACAGCAGTATTAACTGGCCAGCACAGAGAAATAATGTTGCCCCTTGTGACATGTACACCCCCCACAGTACACTGCTAAATTTTGCTTATGGTAAGTGGCCTTCTTGTGAATTTCTAATGTCTAACGATACCTACATATGTTACAATCTGATTACATTGCATTTGGTTTATTTAACTTGTTATCCAGCTTTTCTAGGATTGCTGTGCCTGTGTGTAGTGTTACTGATGAAATTTGATTTGAATGCTGCGATCGGACCAAGTAAAATTCAGATCAGGCAAAGTAGAAAAATGTTGTGTCCCAATGGTGGACAAAGTTGCCAAGGGGCAAGGCCAATTTTGGTCCCCATTCAACTACTGGCCAAGTAAAATTATTTATACAAAGTGTATTGATTGACAGCTATGCCAGCTAAATAGAAGTGAGCAGTGTGGAAAGTCCATGTGACAGTGGCAGGGGTCCCAGTTACCCACCCATGTGACCTACATCTAGTAAAATTGTTATATGAACCTAAAATATTTAATGAAGTTTTTTACAATTTGTAAAACACCTATAACAGTGGAATCCTATACAGTCTTGGAAACAATCTAAGTTCTGATGCTGCAGTTTCTTTTTCTTCCATTTTTCGGTGGTGAGAAAAGTAAGGGACACATGAGAATACTGTTTGAGAACATTTTATTTTTTGTGGGACTGTTTTGAAGGTGGATTGCAAACACTAGGAGTGACTGCGGGAAAGATATTTTGATGAATGTAATGACTATGCAGGCTAGATTCAGGGATATTCTGCAAAACTGGAAAACATTACTAGTAACTAGTTGTTTTTAAGGTACGTCATATTTTTGGAAACATATAGTTAGTTGTTTAAAGCCATATTTTTTGTTTTGGGTAGAATGGCCAAGATCCCTGTTGGATTTTACTGCTATCCAGGGACGTCATTAGATTTCCCTCACTTACTGTCCCAGTGATAGTGGTTTTAGAAAACAGAAAGTGAGGAAAATCTGCAACATAGACAAAGATAAAATGTATTTTTTTTAGCAGAGTAGAGTGATGCTAATACCTCTGTCTGATTTATATTCATTTCTTTTACAAAGAATTTTATTATAGAATAGGAAACAGCAAAAAAAAGTCAGTCAAGAACATATGCAATGACCAGCAGAAATATAACATGCAAAAGATTCGATGGATAATACAGAATATGTACTAATGAGAAAACATTAGAAACTAACTGCGTACATAAGTACCGTATAGAAAGAAAAGGCAATAAACTGTAAAAATGATAGACATTTAGAGACTAATAACATAATAGACTCTCAGGAAAAATTGTTGCAGAATCAGCATACAGAATGCGAGATAAATAGAAGAAGTTTATCACCTTGATATTTTGAGTGCTTTTTTGAACTGTTAAGACACTGGACTTATTTATGATTATTGTTGGTTTGATTATCAATCATCACTTTTAAGGGGTGTGTTTTGTTTATATATCTCAGTTGGGAATTTGTTTAAAGAGGGGGAGATTCTTTTTGGAATAATTCTATTTAAATAGAAGAAGAAGCCCTCTGAGTACAGAGAGGCACTTAACACGCAGGGCTCTCAAAGGAGTCCAGCACATGGGTGCAGTATTGCTGGTACGGGACTCAAAACAGGAATCACAATCAGCACAAATAACCTGAAGAAGACTGACTAGGCAAGAGGAAAGAAAGGAGTGAAGAGAAAGAAGACAAAGAGACAAAAAAAAAAAGGGGGGGGGGTGTTCCAGGGGACCGTGGCAGAGAAAAGAAAAAAAATTATACCAAAGGTGAAAAAATAAGCTGGTATATAAGTTTTATATCGACAAGAGGGACTGGTCGAATCTTGACGGTTGAGCAATATCAAGCCAAGGACGCCATGTCTGTAAAAAGTTTGTATGGGTGTCTGACAGTATAGCTGTCAACTTTTCATTAACCATTATAAAGTTCATCCGGTTTTTGACAGCCTCGAAGCTGAGGAGGGGAGTCTTCCAAGCTCTCGCAATCGTCAACTTGGTGGCCATGAACAAGTGCGATGCTAACTGCCGTTCAGGATGAAGTAGGCCCACTAATGGTTTAAATAACAGCGCTTCATACGGGTTGCGTTTAATGTCTGAGTGAAACATAGTGCGGAGAAGGGCATAAACTCTGATCCATAATCTGCACACCTTGGGGCAAGACCACCAAATATGGACCATAGTACCCGTCTGTTGACAACCTCGAAAGCAAGTCGGGGAATATGTGGGAATAAAACGAGCAGACGAGCAGGCGTGTAATAACATCTATAAACAACCTTGTTGTTGAATGATAACATTCCTAGAACATTTGGATAGTTGTTGGGTCATCATCCGCCAATCCTGCTGATCTAGAGTGCCCCCAAGCTCCGACTGCCAACGCTGATGATAAGAACGGACTGGAGGAGTTCTATGGGAAATAATGAAAGAGTAGACCAGGGAAATTAAGCCCGGAGCATGGGGTCTATGTCTACATTGACTTTCAAAAAGGGGGTCAACCTATAGGGTCTTGAATGTGTCTGTATTAAAGTACTGATAAAGTGGCGGAGTTGAAGGTATCCAAAATGTTCCCGCAATGGGATATTGTAAGAAGAGCGCAGAGTTTCAAAGGTGAGTATCCGAGTGGGAGAGATCATAGAATGAATATCATGGAAACCATTTGCTTGCCACCAAGCAAATTGTCCAGGATTGTCACGACCTTGGGGAAATAATGGATTGTGTAGCAACCGTAGTAACGGTAGATGGGCAGAAATAAGGCCAGCAGAATATTTAATGGAGTCCCAAAGTCGGAGGGTTAGCGCCAACGTCGGACTAAGGGATGAGGGTTCATGACTAGAAGGAAGCCATGGTAAAGAAGAGAGCGGAATTGGATGGGAGTCCATCAAGTCTACAGTAGCCCACAAGGGAAAATGGTGAGATGCGTGGAGGTGGGCTAAGGGGGCAATATTGGCCGCCAGATAGTAAGACTGAAGGTTTGGGACAGATAACCCACCCTCGGTCTTACGAGCAAATAATATTTGTTTACTGATTCTGGGTCGGGAGGAGCTCCAGATGAAAGACAGGAGTCTTTCGCTGATGAATACGCAATATATGTGAAGGAACAGGGACTGGTAAAACTCGAAACACGTACAATAATTTGGGAAGGTAAGTCATGCATTGATTCTACTGAACCACGAAAGCGGATAATGAGACCAGGAGGACAACAACTCCGTCAAGTCATTAAAAACAGTGGGGAAATTAGCCCGGTAAAGTCCTTCGTAAGTCGGAGCAAGCTTGATTCCTAAATACGGCAGGGCAGAAAGCCATTGAAAAGGGAACAAATGTTTCAGAGTCTCCAAAAGTGATGGTGAGAGGGTAATTGACATAGCTTTGGACTTGGCAGGGTTAACATGGAGGCCTGATAGAACTGCAAAGGAATCCAAAACCGCAAGTAAATTTGGCAAAGTAATCGCCAGGTTCGTAACCAATAACATATATCGTCAGCGAACATAGATAACTTGTGTTGGGAACCAGCTACATCTATTCCCTTAATATCAGGATGCATACGAATGGTTTCAGCCAACGGTTCCAAAGCCAAGATAAATAGTATGGGAGAAAGTGGGCAACCTTGCCTAGTTCCCCTGCCAATTGAAAACGTTGAAGACTCAAAACCATAGTATTTGAGTTTTGCTTGAGGTGATGTATATAGCGAGGAAATCCAACGCAAGAGCGAGGGACCAAAGCCAAAATGATGAAGGACCGACATGAGATAAGGCCAGGACAAGGTGTCAAAGGCCTTGTTGATATCTAGAGATAGGAGCATCATATCAATTTTACGAGTACGGACCAAATGTTGTAACTGTATAATACGTCTGATGGCATCTCCGGCTTATCTGTGAGGGATGAAACCCACCTGGTCCTTCTTAATCAAACGAGAAAGGAAAGAATTCAACGAGTGGCTAAGATCTTAGTAAGGATTTTCATGTCAATGTTAATAAGAGAAATTGGTCTGTAATTTGCCCGAGGAATGGTCCCGATCCGAATTGGGGATCATAACCACGTTAGCAGTCAAAGAGTCAGGGGAAAAGTTTTTGCACCCCTCTTCACCGCATTGAACATAGCGGCAAGGTGAAGGGCAAGCACATCTGCCAACCTTTTGTAATATGAAGCCGTGTATCCATCTGGACCTGGGCGTTTGCCCGTCTTCAGATCTGCAATACATTGCAGAACTTCCGATACTTGAATATCACGGTCCATCAGGTCCTTATGAGCCTGAGTCAAAGTAGGTAGGGACAAATGAGATGGAAAATAAGAGATAGTTTGGGGATCAGTCCGTGTAGGATCCGCATAAAGTCTGGCTAGTCTATGCTGGAACTCCTCCAATACCGCTACAGGATTACTGGTGAGAACATTCTGACGAGTGCGTAGAGAAATTGATTTAGGATGGTGCGCGAAAGAGCGCAATCTACGTGCTAACATGGAATCTGGTTTATTTGCTTTGTTATACCACTTCTGGCGTGTCCATTGCAAAGAGCGCTCAGCCTCATCAGTCAAACAGAGATCTAGTTCCAGGCGAGCCTGATCTAATAACCTACGGTTCGATGGGGTTGGTACCTGCTTAAATTGAGCTGACGCGGAAGCTAACTTTGATTCCAGCTGACTCTGTTTATGTTGTCTATCCTTCCTCCGCCTCGAAGCTATCTGAATAATATGACCCCGGAGAACAGCCTTGTAAGCTTCCCACAACGTCACCGAAGAAGAGACAGAACCCGAGTTTAGCTGAAAATACTCTTGGGATTTACGCAATATTTCCGCCTGAATCTCCTTCAGTGAAAGTAGAGAGTCATTCATAATCCAGGAGGAGTAGGATGACTTACAGAGGAGAGATCGACAAACCACCAAAATGGGGTCATGATCGGACCATGGAACCATGAGGATAGAGACAGAGCGTACCAAAGGAAGATGTTTACGCAATACAAAAGCATGGTCAATTCTTGAATGAGAATGATGAGGGTGAGAGTAGTAAGTGTAGTCTTTTCCTCGGGGGGTGGAATTCACGCCATAAATCTACCAGGTCATGGGTACTTAACGTACGAGTGAAGGATTTGGACGTGGAATAATTAGAGTTTTCTGCAGGGTATTTATCTAGGGATGGGTTTAATACTAAATTAGACTCTTCTGCCAGCAGAAGAGTACCCTTTTGATGAACAGCCAGGAGGGAGCAGATATGTGATAGAAAGGGCCCAGGGTTGACATTGGGAGCATAATAGGTCAGTATTGTAACATTGATGCCCTGTAATAAAAGATACCTGCCTCTTGGGTCAGCAATACGCTTCACACAAACAAATGGGGTTTTGCCGTGAAAAGCAACAAGGACTCCCCTTTGTTTAGTAGGGCCAGTAGCCTAAAAAACCTGAGGGTAGCATGCATCAAAATATCTAGGGGCAGAGGTATTTGAAAAATGAGTCTCCTGTAGGCAAGCAATGTCGACATGGCGAGCCCGGAGAAACTTAAATATCTTTACCCGTTTTTGTGGAGAGTTCATGCCCTGAACATTCAAGGATAACCAGTTTAGCGACATGGCAATCGGAAGGGAAAAAGATCATCTCCGCTACGATACCCGGGAGCCCTGAAAAAAAATGTATAAAAACACAAAACACACATGACAAAAAAACAGAGAAAAAAAGACAGGACAGAAGGAAGAAAACAAGAAATCATCTGGTATACGAGCAATATTCATATGAAATAATAAGATTAGCACAAACATCTTAATAATCCACTGTGGGTGAAATACCCACAAAAAGGCTGGATAGCGGGCAGGACACCAATCCAGTCCACTAACCAGCTCGGAGGGGGGACACCATAGTCCACCGGAACTATTCGACTTAGTTAAGGCAAGAAAATATTAAACAAACAACTTAGGCTAATAAACCCAGGAACAATTTACCTATAGTTGGCTAGTAAGGCCATAGGAATCTCAGTATACTTAGAACTTCAAAAATGAAGAAGCTCCAAAATTGCCGAAGGGGTGAGACTGCCCACCGGACCGCCCAGTGAGCTGAGTCACACCCGTGGCCTGAGATCCGCCGCCAGTTCCGCCCATCAACTATAACATAAGTAGAAGCATCTACACAGAATTAACATGGTTATTTAGGCACTAGCCACTGTGGAGAAAGTGCTACAAGGCATAACTGCATAGGATCACATATGGGCAATGTCGCCCGCATCTCCAAGAGTAGAAAAAAAATAAATGTGAAAAACCCAACCGGACACAGAATATCAAGTCGCAGAAACCTCCTGGAAACACTGGGCCTGTAGGGATCGAAGAGCCCGAGAGCTACTCTGACTTGGAGGAGAAGATTTACGCGAAGATGGGAACTTCGAGGGCGTGTAGAAACTGTTGCCTCCCTGTTCTGGGAGTGTGGTAACTCCAATTTCAGTTCCTGAAAGTGACGGCGAAGATCCGCTGGTGAAGAAGCTTGGAACTGACGACCTTGGAAGGAGAAAGAGAGCTTGAAAGGAAAGCCCCATCTGTGATTTATATTCATTTCTATGTCCCTATACAAAAAGAAGTGCAGCGCTAAATACTCCAATATATGTGTATGTTCTCTGAATCATGTGGGTAATAAAAGGAACACAATAAGGCAATGTAAAAATGTCAAAATAAATATCAAAATAAATAAATAGTGACAGTTCGTGATAAGTGATCTATGCAGGAGTTGCTAGTGACTTCCTGATCTTGTGGTCTGGTGACAAATAGTGAAAATGCGCAATCACCAGATGCGTATTTTCAATACGCATGTCATGCATAAACCAGAGGTCCTCCTCATGGGATGGGATGGGCGAGCTGGGCCGTCTTAGCGGACTCTCCTTCCTCTGGGTGTAGAGCAGCTAAACCGTTGTCTCCCTCTAGGAAATTGACAGGATACTAGGTGGCCTACATCAGTGCGTGCGTCATCCTTAGGGTGGTATCATATGTCACAGACTCCTGATGCATGGGCTCAATGTGCAAAATAGACATCACGGCGTGCAGGCCCCTTTAATGCGTTTCCTGCGATAGCACTTCATCAGAAAGGCATGGCCATCACCATTTCTATGTCCCTGTTGCAGATTTTCTCTTACTTCCTGACTGGTAAACACCTTGTACACAACATGTAAGATGAAACCTCTGTAATGGAGCCCCTGATAGCAATAAAAAATCATACATCGCCCTTCTGTCCAAAACCAAAAAAAAAGTCATGCCAAACACTTTAATGATTTTGTGCTCAAGATTAGACACTTTTTACTTTTAATCTCCATAATATAATGCTCAAATTACAAGAACCTATACAACCCAAAGAGGATTTTAGTTTATTGTGGCCAGGTCATGGAACTTGTCTTAAGGTTTATTGCACTTTGCTCCATTGAATATTGCACCTGAAAGTTTTCTGTCCATCTCTGTTCATATATATGTTTTTTTTTTTTTGCAGTTTTGCTGAACATATATGAATCGTACCACATTCCTGCCCTCCGCCGCCGTGCAGTACATGAACTATACGACCACGTTACAGCCGATGACCGCTTCACTAAATGTATCAGCATTGGTCCAGTAAGAGTTTAGCTTATGTGCTAATGGCCTATATATCAATAGAATTAATAGATTAAAGCTGGCCATAGACGAGTCGAAGTTCGACAGGGACCAGGCAAATTGTGACCATTGTGTGGCCATCCCTGTTTGACAGAAGTCTATTTTTTGGTTGACTTTGCCAATTGGACATGCTGGAAAACCTTTTCTGATGATTATATTCTGTCAGCACTGTGTTTTGCTGTTGGAATACAATGTCCTGGCAGGGAGATACCTCTAACCACCTCATTTGTATGAGTGGAGGAATTTGTTCATCTTTTTCATTCAGCCTATTGGCTGAACGAAAAAAAAACTACCCATGTTTGGCCAGCTTAAATCAATACTGATGGTACATGTATGACTAGAATTAATTAACAGAATTAATACTGATGATATGTAGATAGGTAGCTGTAGATATAAGACTAGCCTTTATATTTTACAGATCTCAAAGGTGATTAATATGCTAGTTCGATGGCATGTGGATGGATCAGAGTCGCCTGCATTCAAGGAGCATGTAGACCGCATTCCAGATTATCTTTGGTGAGAATATCACTGCAGCTAGTGGACAAATGCTTGTAGTTGGTGTCACTTAGGTACCAGATGCAAATTAAAATGGAGTTGCTTTATGCCCATAACTGTTTAACATTCCTAACAACACAGAAAGGGTACCATCAATTGTTACAAATGTATAATGAAACCTGTCTGGTAACTGTGCTCTATTATGTTGTTTATCACCAACCAGTTCTATGTAATTATGCTTTTCGTACATTATTTCTTTATTACAGGTTGGGTCTGGATGGGATGAAAATGCAGGTAAGTACTGTTTTGTACACTTGTGAACTCTAATTGTTATGTTTGTGCTGGGCACTTTGAGGCTTCATGCACACTGGACATTTTGGAAACTACTGCTAGGGGCGTCAGGCATTTTTTTTTACTGCCTCTAAACTCCCCTGCATGTTATCCTATGTGTTCATGTACACATAGGCTTTTAACAGTGTTTTGTGACAGGAGAGTTTATTGGCAAAAAAAAAAACCCACTGCCAGGGCTTCCTGAAGCAGCAGCGTATTGGCTGAAAAAATGCTTGGCGCACTTAAACACTAGGCGCATTTAATGTTTGAGCATTAATTTATTTAATTGGCCAGAATAAATTACTTATTCTAGCCAATGAAATAAATTAACGCTGAAACACTTAACAAGGGTAAACGTGGTACACACTTACAAGCGTCTGGCATTTTTTTGGCCAAAATTTTGCTGGCTTCTAGGGGGAGTTAAAATTAAAGTCCATATGCAAGAGGCCTGAATGTCAAGTTTCTGAAATGGTTATTTTGTACTGGTAGCTAGCTACTGATTCTACAGGTGATTTTCTTCAGACATGGGCTTTTTTTCTGCAATACAGCAGAAAATAGAAGGCCACAGTAGCCATTCTCATACAATTTTTTGTAGCTAGGCAAATTAAAGATTTGTTCTTAAGGTTTACTGCATTTTTTAAATTGAGATTTACCTTAATAAAGGAGCTGACACTGTAGCTAAGTAATGCAGTCTGGTCAAGAACTCACCCCATCCCAGCTTGTGATTGGACAATGAAAAAGCAGAAGCACTCAGAGTACACAATATAATTGATCCCCGATTGGCTGAAAGAGTTAACCCTTCTTTTGCCACTGTGAGCGCTGCTGTGTGGAGGATTATAGGTGGTTGATGTCAAGACATATGATACAGCAGTTCTATGTGAAAGTGGGTTTATTATTTGTATTTTTATATCAGTCTAGTCTTCAGCTGTAGCCTCCCTGGCGGTATTCCCGAGTGTAGCTCGGGGTAAAGTTTCAGTACCACAAGCGGTCACCTTGAGCTACACTCGGGCTTACCATGATGCGCTGCTCCGGAATCTGTTCTTCTCTTACCTTGTCCTGCGCTCCCGCGATGTCCCTCCTGCTGTGTCCTCTGTAATGTCCTCCGGCGGATGCCGGCATCTGTCTTCTGGGTTCCGTCCCCTGACAAAAAGTGATATTCACTAAATTCACATAGTAAAACATTACTGTATCAAACCATTTATTTATTTCAGGTACTTATATAGCGCCGTCAATTTACGCAGCGCTTTACATATATCTTCTACATGCACATCAGTCCCTAATCCTCAAGAGTTGTACAATCTAAGGTCCCTAACTTACATTCATGGGCCAATTTAGACAGGATCCAATAACCTACCAGCATGTCTTTGGAGTGTGGGAGGAAACCGGAGTACCCGGAGGAAACCCACGCAGGCACAGGGAGAACATGCAAACTCCAGGCAGGTGGTGCCGTGGTTGGGATTCGAACCAGCGACCCTAAGACTGCCAGGCAGAAGTGCTAACCTTTTAGCCACTGTGCCGCCCCGCATACATTTTGTCCCTAGTGCTTTGTCCAGTGCCCTGCCTACATTTTTACCATTCTTTCTGCCTGGAAACTGAGAAATGTCCATGGCGTCCAAAAAGCATCCCTTTAGGTCAAAAGCGGTTTTAGAGCAGCTAGAGAACAGCGATAGTAAATTAGAACTACTTGCAGAATTGAGTAATAATGATTCGTGGGGAAATTCATCATCAGACATTGAAAACGATTTTGCGACTTTGCTCACTGATGTGCGAACGTGGCACTGTATTTCAAAATTCAGTGTTTTTGGTTTGATTATATCATTGAATTAAATTTATTATTATTATATTATTATTTTTTATGATTATTTATTAAATTATAATTTATGATTTCGTGTTTCAAATTTCAACATACCCGGGATGTTTACTAGACTCTTACTAGACTCTTGTTTGGACAGATTTCAGTGAGTTAATCCTAACATTTACAGGCCTACAATAACAAAAATACATATTTCCATGCAAAAAGATGTAGCGCTTTGAAATATGGACATAATCAGACCGCCAGGGAGGTTTACAAGGTCACTGCTCTGATAAATTGGTAAAGGGTACATTGATCTCTGCATGTATATGTATGACTTAAGTGAGTCAGCTTGTTAGTGTAGATGTATCATAAAATTTAATAGTTTTTGTCTCTTACCTTTATGCATTTTTTGTTTTTTTTCAGGGAACAAATGGCTCTCAGCTGTGGGACACGGCTTTTGCTATTCAGGCATTCCTAGAGGTATAAATGCTGTTATATTTCTTGCCTTATCAAGTTATTTTGTCTTGAAGAGTGTGATGGTGAGGGACAGAATCTCTGTCAAGGTTTTGTTGCTTTGTGTCCCCGTTGGGAAAATTTGGTACCACTTGCTGCTTTGTCATAGCATGACATACCGGGGTTAACTGGTACCAGAAGAGATTCTAAATCTCTATAGTAGAGACACAGGTAGAAATAAGAACCTGATAATGGTTTTAACCCTTCTCTATGTTAAGGAAAAGGTGATTTTATTGCTGTTTGTTTCCATTGGGGAGACACATGAGGCATTTTCATGGAGACGGAATGTTCGGAGTAATTTCTGTAACTGGGTCAGAGACAGCAATACATAACTGACAGAAATGGTTCTGTGTGTGTTTGTGTGTGTGTATTTGTGCGTGTACTCCATAGTATTTTTTTTCAAACTTGCAGGCTGGAGCTCACAAGAAGAAGCAATTTCAGAAAACACTGGAGAGAGCTCATGAATTTCTACGTGTTTCACAGGTGCAGTACAGTGTAAACTAGGGGAAACTCAGTGACAATAGATGATGGGATTTTGGATGTGTAGTGTAGATGTAGGTGATACGAACATACCAATTACTGCGTCATGTTTTGAAGGAATGTAATTTATGGCTGTGACAGTTACACATATACCTACTTAACTATAGCAATATTTTTATGTACCTTAAAATTTAATATTGCTGCACATAAACACACTATTATCTTGTATTTTTGTAGTTTGTATATCACCTCCTATTCCTTAGATGTAGTGACTGCATTCGTTTTCAGTTTTTATGCTAGGAATATTTTCAGGAAGTACAGAAAATACTTGTTGATCTTGCCAGAAATGCGGTATTCTTGTCAATTCTTGTGAGGTGAAAAGAAAGCTCAAAGAACCTTATCCTTCTTGTGTAAACTGTTAATTCTGTCAATCCACCCAAGTAATGGAAGTAAATAAAGGCACACATGTTTGAAGTCTAACCTGTGTGACAGCCATGGCTCCCTCCTCCATATTTTCCATAGATACAATGGAGAAGTGAGTGTATATGTGAAGGGACAAGGAACATGTTATTCTCAGCATCACAAGGTAAAAATAAAGGAAAAAGACAGAAAAAAAACTGATTGCATACAGTTATAAGGACTAGTAAGCTGCAATATATACTGTGTGTATATGTGTGAGTGTATATATACACTATATTGCCAAAAGTATTGGGATGCCTGCCTTTACACGCACATGAACTTTAATGGCATCCCAGTCTTAGTCCATAGGGTTCAATATTGAGTTGGCCCACCCTTTGCAGCTTTAACAGCTTCAACTCTTCTGGGAAGGCTGTCTACAAGGTTTAGGAGTGTCTATGGGAATGTTTAACCATTCTTCTAGAAGCGCATTTGTGAGGTCAGGTACTGATGTCGGACGAGAAGGTCTGGCTGACAGTCTCTCCTTTTTTAATTCATCCCAAAGATGTTCTGTCAGGTTGAGGTCAGGACTCTATGCAGGCCAGTCAAGTTCCTCCACCCCAAACTCGCTCGTCCATGTCTTTATGGACCTTGCTTTGTGCACTGGTGTGCAGTCATGTTGGAACAGAAAAGGGCCATCCCCAAACTGATCCCACAAAGTTGGGAGCATGAAATTGTCCAAAATCTCTTGGTATGCTGACGCCTTAAGAGTTCCCTTCACTCGAACTAAGGGGCCAAGCCCAACCCATGAAAAACAACCCCACATCATAATCCCCCCTCCACCAAACTTTACACTTGGCACAATGCAGTCAGGCAAGTACCGTTCCCCTGGCAACCGCCAAACCCAGACACATCCATCGTAATGCCAGACAGAGAAGCGTGATTCGTCACTACAGAGAACATATTCCCACTACTCTAGAGTCCAGTGGTGGCGTGCTTTACACCACTGCATTTGACGCTTTGCATTGCACTTAGATGTAAACATAAAGCGAGCGCGTCTCAATCCTCAATATAAGCTGCTAGCATAAGGAAACCTCTAGAACCCTTGAACATATACATATATAAGAATTCAGCGCTTAAATGAATATGATAATTATAATAATAAAAGAATGATAAATAAGGATATAAAATAAAGTATATTAAAAAAATGTGGATGTGACAAAAGGCGCAAGCTGATGCGCTGATGTGTGACTGTGATAATGTCTTAATAAAGACAAAAAGTATCGTGACAATACAGTATATCACATAACATCAAAATCAAGGGTGTAAGCGAGCGCTTACTGTAGCAGCTAATGCACCAAAAAAAGTAACCACAAACTTTCTCAAATGAATAAGTCATAAACCGTAGTGCAGCGCTAAACAAATAATCACCAATCTGATCTAAAATGATTAATCACTCATGAATATGATTCCAGATCGGTATAAAATTCAATAGAAATACAGTATATAATATAGTGTCCAGAACTAGCCACAATGGTAGTTGTTATTCCCACTGGTGAATGATTATATAAATCTCTCCGTGTATATAGATCTGGAAATCCGGTGGCTTGCGATCAAATTAGATATAGAAAGATTGCCCACTCACCGGAAGCGCAATCTTAATGCGCAAGGATCAGATAAACCAGCAGCAGGGGTTCCCTTGATGGTTCAGCCTGAAGCAGGATCCCTTCCGCTGCTAATCCGGATAATGGGTGTCTCCCTCCTAAATGCCTTGGATCAGATGAACTTTAGTGGGGTCTGGTCACTGGCTCCCTCCTTTAATCCTGGTGTAGCTATTGGGATCCTAGGTGGTTTTAATTGCTCGGCACAGAGCAGAGAAGAAGGATTCCCATAGTGTAGTATTCCAAGATATTTATTATGAACAATGAGGTTAAAACACATCCAGTATTAAATGTTCAGAAATGTTAGGTAAACAAATCCTAGATAGTGTGAAGCAGTACAGCTGAATGTACACTGACCAGCTGAAATTAAAGATGGCCATTGGACATCCACGATCCGGCTGCTTGACATCACGGTGTGTATGGGCTCCTCCTTGACGCGTTTCGTAAGCCAATACGTCCTCATAAGGGGTGCTGCCATAAGCGCTGGGCGTCTGTGTGTGTTTTAAATAGATAGCCGTCGCCATCTTGCCGGCGATCGCGCGCGTGCGCTTGCGTGAAAGCGCCGGCGCCATTTTTTTGTGGTTCAACCTATTTCATCAATGTGCTTCTGGATTATGTGAGGGCGCGTGCGTGATAATGTGCACGCCATTTTCTAGTAGATCTGAATGATGTTAGTACTCTTGCACTGTGTGTGCCCACAAAAGCGCGATAGCCATGTCTACGTGGATAGTGGTGCAGATCTGAATGGACATATCAGTCTGCATGGGGGCAAAACTCAAATCATTATATAGGGGTTGTCACAATTAAATGATGAGGTCAAATGAAATCTATTACTGGACATTAAAAATGGTGACTATTAAAAAAGGTTACTCATAATAATTAATAAATATATCACAGTATGAGTTCATAGAGTAATAAAATAAATAATAAAATTCACTGTAAAACGGGACATATATCATAATAAAATTGCTTTACAGATAAAACGATATAAACGCTGAAAATTCTGCATATTCTGAAACTGTTAATGCAGTGTATAGTGCCCCCTAGTGGTTCAAATGCTGCATGTTATGAATAGTTCAAAACTAATATGCATAAAAAATGGGTAATGCAGATTATACAACCGGATATATGAGATATATAGATATCCTATTTGTTACATGTAAACATAGGTATTAGTTCTATATTCATACATATTGGATTGCAGTACCTTTAGCCACTGTATTTTTGAAACACATATGCCTTTACAGAATAAATATATCAATTTACTACACTATATGAGCCTTTTTGTTCTGGTGGCTCTGTCTGAGCCTCACAAGGTGGATTCCTTTTGGATGGTGCACATATCTGATGCTGAGTGTTAGCTTCACCTGTAAGCGGTTCCCATTGTGTAAGAGGGTCCAATAAGAGGTCTGGATCACATCAGCTCATCAGCTTGCGCCTTTTGTCACATCCACATTTATTTTATATACTTTATTTTTTATCCTTATTTATCATTCTTTTATTATTATAATTATCATATTCATTTAAGCGCTGCTATCTTATATTTGCATTGCATTTGGTGATGTAAGGCTTGGATGCAGCTGCTCGGCCATGGAAACCCATTCCATGAAGCTCTCTAAGCACTGTTGTTATGCTAATCTGAAAGCCACAGGATGTTTGGAGGTCTTTAGCTATTGATTCTGCAGACAGTTGGCGACTTCCGTGCACTGTATGCTTCAGCATGCGCTGACCCCCCTCTGTCATTTTACGTGGCCTACCACTTTGTGGTAGAGTTGCTTCCACTTTGTTATAATGCTACTAACAGTAGCAAGGAATGTCACAGATGGACTTATTGCACAGGTGGCAACCTATCACGGTACCACTCGTGAATTGACTGAGCTCCTGAGAGCGACCCATTCTTTCACAAATGTTTGTAGAAGCAGTCTGCATGCCTAGGTACTTGATTTTATACACCTGTGGCCATGGAGGTGATTGAAATACCTGAATTGGGAAACCCTGAGGGGTGTCCCAATACTTTTGGCAATATAGTGTGTGTATATATATTTTTTCTTTTTATACAGTAGGTATAAAATGTCTAAACACCCATTTTTCCACCCTTCAGTTTGTTTTTCAATTGAGTTGTACAGTTTATAGGTCACATTGAAGGTAGAACAAGTTCTGAAATGATTTATTTGTCCCATTTTTTTACACCACAGAAACTTGACATTTTAACAGGGGCGTGTAGATTTTTAATATCTAGTGTGTATGTATATATATTATATTTACATTTTTTGTTGTTTTTGTTTGCTTTTGCATAAGTTTTAAGGATTAACATTGCCTTTTAGAATGTACAGAAATATTTTTGCTTGGACTTAAATCCTCCATTAATTAACCTACAAAATAGAAGAAATATTGCAACAATGTGTAAAGTTTTGTACAGTACATTGTCATTTGTAATTTGTGTATATTTTTGTGTTACAGATACCAGATAATCCTCCAGAGTATAAGAAGTACTACAGACAAATGAACAAGGTGATGTGTACTGTGGGGGTTATAGCTATGAACAACACTGTAAAGTTTCTTCAGTCAAGCTTTGCCCCCCATAATGCTGCCATAACATCTGTTGTATTAAGGCTATCAATAGCTTACTAAATCTGTGATTTGGTACCTGATGAACCAGTGAAACAGAAGCAACAGAGGATTCTGCATATCATCTTATCTAGGGGTACCTGTTAATTATTACAGTATGGCCAGGAAAGAATGGATGAATTATTTGGCAGTAAGTGAGAACCAGATGGCTTGTGAAAAAGGCAAATTTTAATTGTAGAAACCCACGAGAGCCAATATAATTATTCCGACTATTTGAACAAATATGAAATCTTAACTGTTCACATTGGGTTAGTTACGTTCACACACAATATTTGTTCTTTGCATTGCATTATTCCTATGCCTTCCTGTGTGAATGTTGTTTTTATTGTGAGGGTATCACTTCAGTTCACTGAAGTACCTTGTGTCCTGCCACCGGGGAAATACTAATAAAGAAGAACTAAATTCAAACCTTTTTTTTTTTATTTTGGACAGTATAAAGGAGGGATATTACCCCTCTCAGGTTTTTTTCCCCCATATGTGTCCCATTGTGGAGACTTCCCTTCATTTTCTGTCCAATATCCAAAGCAGGAAGTGCAAGAAAATCTCCAAAGTAAGAAAATCCCTGTGTGTCACCAGAGTCATTATAACTAGTGTCCCTATTAGAAGGTCTCTCCTCTATTACTTTTTTGGGGATGACCTAAAATTTGGGATTTTATTTTATTTTCACTTTTGGTGATATTGGTAAACAAGACAAATAGGGAGAATATCCATTGCAGGAGCACAGACAACAATAAAAAAATGTGACAGGTGTTCTAATGCCTCTCCACTCTATTCAAATAAAAAAAAAAAAAAGCTTTGCCATAACTTATACTTTAAATGACTAGTAATCCCAACATAAACATTAGCTATATTAAACATATCTGCTAATGCAATTCAGAAAGATGTAGACATTCCCCATATCGTTAAAATGTGAACTATTGTAATAATATTTATTGTGTCTATGTTTGCTGTTGTTGGGGAAAGACATCCTTGTAAGTATATTGATCTCGTATTCTTTGGAGGAAGATAATAAGTCAGATTTTTCTCATAAAAGATGACAAACTCTTTCCAAGAGCAAGACTCAGTGGGGGGAATTCATAAGGCGTGTCATAGATATTGAATTGAATTGTACTTTCCTTGCTACTGTTGCCACTAATAGTGATGTCTGATTGACTGCAGAAAAACTGAGAGCTCCCCATAGTGATAGATCTATAATTATGAGATCACTATAGGACAACTATGAAAGCCCAAGCATTTAAATATGAGAATGTTATGTTGAAATTATGTTACAGTTAACATGGCAACAACAATTGAAATACACTATATTGCCATAAGTATTCGGACATCCCTCCAAATCATTGGATTCGGGTGTTCCAATCACCTTCATGGCCGCGGGTGTATAAAATCAAGTACCTAGGCATGCAGACTGCTTCTACAAACATTTGTGAAAAAATGGGTCACTCTCAGGAGCTGATTGGATTCAAGCATGGGTGTCCGTTTATGACAAAGAGAATAGCTGCGATTCAACGGATCTCAGCTATTCTCTGGTCATTCACAGTTTATGACACTCAGGAGATCATGTCAACCCTTCACTGGAGATCTGTGTTCTCCCTCCAGATTCTCCAGCCCAGAGCTGGAGAATCAGAGGGACCGCAAACTAAGCAGAGATAATTTACCTCTGCTTAGTAAACTGATCTTTTACTGTAATCTCGAGAGATTATAGTAAAATCAGCCGTTTTCCAGAGTTTGTAGACCGTTCTCCCTTCGTTCGGAGAACTGCTTCATAAACTGCATTCTCAGGAGAACTGTGTTCTCCGAGAATGCCGGAGAACTGAGCAGCAATCTATTACTGCTGGTTCATAAACGGTCACCATGGTACCATGTGTGTAAAGGCAGGCGTGCCTATACTTTTGGCAATATAGTGTATGTGCTTACAGAAAATGTTGTGCATGTTTCTGGACCTTCCTTGTAGTGCTTTAGGAGAAGAACTGGGGTCAATTTTTTATTGATGTGTCTGTTGGATAGTCCAGTTATTAATGGGAGTTGCCAGAAGTACACATATTATATATATTTTTTTAGAATGGATTTAAAAAAAATGTAAAGAAGTAATATTTAGCAATGAATGCCTCCCGCAGAATGGTGTTCAATGCACAACTGCAACATGGGTCATGTTTTCACTCCAAAAAGTAATAGGGTGAGAGCAAAACATATTGCAGTAGTTCTTTAGCAGCTAGGAATATGTGCATTGTTCTATATGGCATTGACTCTATGTACTTCTGTTTTCTGTATGGCAGGGAGGGTTTCCATTCAGCACTCGTGACTGCGGTTGGATTGTGGCAGATTGTACAGCTGAAGGTCTAAAATCTGCCATGCTGCTCCAGGAGAACTGCTCCTTTCTATCTGATCACATTCCAAGGGACAGATTACGACAGGCTGTGGATGTGGTGAGAAGCTTTTAGATCGGAAAAGTCTAAACATTTTACTTTGCAAACTCACATCCAGACATAAACAACTTGATAGAACCATTCAGACTAGGAAAATAGCAATTTGTTTTTGAAGTGTTAATGCACACAGAGAATACTAAGAAAATGTTGTGGGTTACTGTTACTGAACTCCTGAAAATGCTAGTTGCCTGACTGGAATAGGCATAAGACAAATGAAGTCAGAGCCCCAGATCTGCATACAGGTTCTGGTGCAGTGAACTAATTTTTCAAATGAAAGACCTTTGATATATGTAAGGCTTATTGGAAGTGTATGATACAATAGTTGTCTGCACATACTAGCACTAAACACGTGCTGGGTATCTGTTGAAGCAGTGTGGTTTTAGCTGAGACCAATATGAATAGGCCACTGGACTTACAGAATTTCCTTCTGGGCAAGCCAGTAACATTCACATATGATCTAATGATTTCACAGCTTCTTAGCATGAAAAATTCTGATGGAGGATTTGCTACATATGAAACAAAACGTGGTGGCCGACTGCTTGAACTTTTGAATCCCTCTGAAGTGTTTGGTAAGTAGGTGATCTAAATAGTCATGTTCTGCATCCCAGAAATGTGTTTTCACATATCTTGTTGACCTCCCTGACAACGCACAAAGAAATCTAGCAAAATTCAGAGCTCCCCCTGTTGGAGATATGTAAATATCTATATTTAAATAAATAACAAAAATATGAAAGCGCAAATATAAATACTGTGCTAATAAAACAAAATATGCGTGCCCTAGAAATACACTAATTTCCTTTAGCATAAATACATTATTTTTTCAAATGTGTAGTGTGAACAAATCCTCTGTTTTTTTATTTGCATGTCTATTAAGCTTTATTTTCTGCTATTAAATGTGTGATTTTAGTGCTATTTACATTTTTTTAAGTGCAGTTTTGCTTCTGTGACAGTGTTGCAGTTTTAACTGTGCCTGTTCCTTCAGTTTTGCCATTTGTTTCCCCCTCCAGTGCATAACATGGTACAAAGTTATACAGTAATTTGTGGGTAGGTAGGACTCCTTCACAGGAAGTAAAACATTGTTTCATGCAACACTCACTCACACATATAAAGAAATAAATATACATATACTTTTTAAATACAAAATATAAAGCAGATGAACTACTTTTTCCTGGTGCCACCCTTCCTTAGGCTACATTCGCACTAGCTTTGTCAGCAGGCTTTAGACAGTCTTTTGGGAAGTGTTTTTAACGCTTCTCAAACTCCTATAAAAATTCTGCACACACAGTGCTGTTCACACTGAAGCGTTAGTGTCGCGTCGTGGCAAAAATGACGCCTCATGTCCAGTTAGGAGGAGTTGAAGCCTCCCATTCAAGTCTATGGTGACTATTCTCAAATGCCTGGCAGGTGTTTGTGAGGCGTTTGCGGAGCGTTAATACCATTAAACTTCATTATAGGCATTTGTGGTGTGGTTTTAATGTTTTGCAAACGCCTCAAAAACGCGCATAGGGCGTTTTGGGGAGCATTAAAAACACTTCCCAAACGCCTGTCTAACACCTGTCAAACGCCTGTCAAATGCTATAGAGACATTTGGCAGGAGTTAGAAATAAAGTCTAGTGTGACCTCTATACATAAAGGATCTGGGGATTTCCCATACATCTATCTCTTCTGTATCAGTTCTTACTTGTTTTCTTTTAGACGCCTTGACCGTTACCTTCTCATTTGGAGGCTTGTCTTGTTCTTTGATTTTGGCTGTATCTTGCAGGTTCTGTGAACTTGGGCTTAGCACCTCTTCCAACCCAGTACTCTTCAGCAGTTGCCCCAGAGGCTTTCTTTTGGGATTTTCCTCCTCTTTTTCATATGCATAGCTTCCTGGAGGCATGTTTTGATACTGTGCTGAATTGCAGGCATTTTTATGAAAGTCCCTTTCTGGCATTGCTGTCACTGGAAACACTGTAATTTCAACATTCTCCAAGTTGTGTTCATTCTCTGTGCTGATGGCAGATGAGTGGGAAACTGCGTTTCCTTTATCATTCTCCTCTCTTTCTGTATCTGGGTGCTTTTTGGGTATGTAATCAGGCTGCCTTGGAACTGTCTGGGTTTCTTTTGTTTCAGTTCTTCTCCATGGACTGGTGTAGTGCCTAAATCGTGTGGCATGGTAAAACATTGGGGACGGTAGATGGGGATTAAAATAAGGTGTCCGGTTCATTCTCAAATTAATTTAATGCTGGGGGACATAAAATCCAGGATACTCATGGACTGGGACTGAATAATATGGGACATATGGATTTCCTCCATGGAAATCTGGTCCAGGGATGCAGTATGGATTGTAAAGTTGGGTAAGGTACCAAGGATTTGGGATAGGTAGTTGTGCTGTTGGCTGTGCATAAAAGAAAGTCCTCTGTTGTGACGTGCCCACTTTCAGGAGGTGTTGCTGAACTGTTTATTTTTGAATCTGCTGATTACATCCCAAAGCACAACTAACTTTCCCTTGATTTTGTTGTTTTAATCACTGTATACATTTACAAAGAGCCTTGTTGTAAGGGAAACACATATATATTTCAGGGGACATCATGATTGATTACACGTATGTAGAGTGCACATCTGCTGTGATGCAAGCCTTGAAGCATTATCAAGCCTGGGATCCTGACTACCGAACACATGAAATCAGGTGAGCAATCACATACCCAAGTCTGACAGCAGTGTAAAGGGAACCAGGGAGTGCAGAGAGGCTGTAATGCAAACAGCTTGATTCAAATAATCTTTGTGTTTTCAGTTGTTTTTTCCTTCAACTTTAATTACAACTTTTTCTGTAAAGTACAATATTTTTGTGTGGTGCCATATGCCTTGTTAGTACATCAAGTGGGTATTCTTCCTTCTTAGCATGTCACTTGTATACATAAGTCTGAACCAGGAGAAGAAGTCTTGATTATCACATTTGCCCAGTGAAGTGACTGGCCCCAGATGATACACAGCGATTAAACAAATCCTCTTACATAATTTGCACCTGTCTATCTGCAGTCTTCTCTTCCCTACATCTGTACAAAGTGCTGAATTTATAAAGCTTGTCTGAGAGGTCAGAAAAAAATGGGATGGAGAGATGAAATTACACTTTGCAGAGCTCAGTGAGGAGAGGTCTGAGCTCTGATTGGGGGATAGAGAAGCCTCCTCCACACAGTTCATAAGAACAGAGCTGAGGCTGTCAATCTGCTGGAGGTCCCTCCCCTGTCACCATTTTTCTCTTGGTGTCCGGAAAACTTGTCAGTAATGATTTATGCAGATAGCAGAGGAACAAACCGGCAGACAGAAATTACACTTAGTGCTCTGGATTGAGACAAGTACACACTATATTTCATGTCTGAGGCTTACAACCACTTTAACGGTATCATTGCTTTCTTGTGTATTAGTTGTAATCGGTTCCATAGTTACAATTTATTAAAGGGAAACTGAGAAAGTGAGTGAGAAATAGCCCCACCCTCCACTCTTACATTAAATAGTTTAGTGTGGTGTAGACAGCCAGCTTTATGTTCACAATGATCCTTACAATCATGAACACAATCTGGCTGTTCTGTATGCTACATTGCTCAAAGTAATTCATCACCTACATGTACGCCTTACACTGTGCTTTAAATTATATACTTCAAACCTTTCCCCTTTTTACACTGTGCTGCAAGTAGAAAACTCCAGGCTGACTCATTTGTACACTAGGCTGGACATGGCATACTTTTTTTTTTTTTAATCAAGTAATTTTTATTAAGGTATTTTTGCATGTCATACAAACAAAACAACAAGCAAGAAACATAAACGTTACATGGAACAACAGTATGCCAACACTGGACGCCAAGCTGGACATCATGTGAATAGCAAGAACAAAAAACAGAGAAAAATAATAAGTACAACTGAGGCTATAGGGCCATATAGTCCAAAAACATTTTTGTCATATACAGATATCAGGCAAAATTACATTACAGACATACAAGATGTTCAGAGTCAGTGTGATCAGATCCATCAATACAACCCGTATCCTAGCACATCAGAGCCTAAAGATCCTTCGGATATGACATACTTTAGACATGCTTCACATATGTATTTACCATGGTAATCAGAGGTGCACTCAGTTCCCAGGCCATATAATGATTGAAAGCTGCTCACATCCTCCAGGGCTGTGTTGGGGCCAGGCATTGGAAGATGTCTTTGCAGACAGGTAAGGGTCTAGACCAGTGTTTCTCAACCTTTTTTCAGTCAAGGCACCCTTTAAAATTATGGATTCTTGAGGCACCTCATTCTAAAATGTGAAAAACTGTTCTAATAGTTTTATATAATGCAGCAACATCCACACATGTAGGACACTCAACATTAGATGTGATTTATTCTTCCAAAGCAAATACACTTTTGCACACTGGTACTGACTAGTATTCCATTGTTTCTCTTCCCACTCAGATTTTCTCCATCACTGAGCTAATGTGACCCCAGCATTGATGGAGAGGGGCAGGGGAGGGTCAAACTAGGATGCTGTGCAGGCAGCTGACATCCTCCTTATCAACTGATGATGTCATTGGTTGTCATGACGTTGGCGGCTAGAAGGTCGTACTGGTGCAAATGAAAGTCTGTGGCTTTGTGTAACTAAAGGGCAGGCTTGTTCCACCTGCTGGCTTGTATACAAGTTTTGAGCAATTTTTAGACATTTTGCCAAGGCACCCCTGAAGAAACCTCAAGGCACCCCAGGGTGCCTGGGTACCCTGGTTGAGAAAGGCTGATCTAGATCACAATCTCTTTAAATTTATGCCTGGTGTTCTTATGTAACATATTGCCATATACTGTATGTGCTATAGAACCTTGCTGATGTTTTTTTTCTTTCTTAGAGATACTCTTCAGCATGGGCTGGATTATTGTCGCTCAGTACAGAGAGAAGATGGCTCCTGGGAAGGGTGTGTGTTTCATATAAATATATATATTTTACTCATTAAGGAACAAATCAGAGTTTCTAAATTGTTTGTGCCTTTCCTCTGTACTCCTAAATGTTTTCCTTGTCCTGTGTTGAAACAGCAACTTGAGAAAATTTTAGTGAATAGTGGAAATAATAGGAAGGAGGAAGCAGATTTTCTTCATGCTGGGACATCTTCTGTCATCTTTCTAATTTTTTGGGGGTCTTTTTCATTCCGGGTGCTGTAGGGTGGGATGTCACTGCATGGACAAATGTTGTCCTCCATGAAATAATGAAAGCATGAATTCTGAAAGTAATATTCATGACATCTCTTCTATCTCTTCCACGTAAATTAGTCAATAAAAAGGTCAATCTGACATCTGTATGAACATAGCTTTATACTGTCTTTGTTTTGCAGGTCATGGGGTGTGTGCTTTACATATGGCATTTGGTTTGGACTGGAGGCCTTTGCTTGCATGGGATATAAATTCTCTGATGAGTAAGTACAGATTGGACAGCAAAGTCAGATCTTTTTCTCACATGTTTTTTTGAAAAAAGAAACATATGTCTGGAAGGCAAAGACACTACAGGACATTTCTGGTGCCACCAATGACTATGTAACATGCAGAAACAATTATTTTTGTAAAACCCTAATTTTACTATAACACGATTCCCATTAAAAACAACTTTTAAATGTTAAAAGAATTTGATAAAAGAGAGCTCAACACGAGTGTCAATCCTATATCACGAGTTACAAATAGTTTCATATAAGTTGACATATGTCAATCGGTCTATTTATTCCCTTATTAATAGAACATACCCCGTATCAATTATAATATATAGTGGTCCAATATAAATTTTATTTAATTGTATAAAGTGTAGAAAAATAAAAAAATGCATTTAAGGTCCAGAATCAGGGCTATATTATTTATGGGAAATAAATATACATATAATATCCCCAAAATAATTGTATAATAGTATATACAGTAAATGGTATTCAAAAGTCTAACATCAACAGAATAGACTAATAGACTAATTGTACATAATAAGAATATTTTTGAAATAAAAAATTTACACAAACATTAAAAAGTACCTTAGGTAGGGTAAGGAGAAAATAAAGAATATAGAGAAATTGGGTTACTATGCATCACATCATTAAACATGCAATGAATCAGATATACAGTGGGCAGCACAGTGGTTTAGTGGTCCCCAGTTTGAAGCCGGTGAGCTCACTATCTGCATTGAGTTTGCATGTTATCCTTATGCTTGAGTAGGTTTCTTCTGGGTAATCCAATTTCCTCCCATACTCCATAGACAACCTAGCAGGTTAATTATATTGGCCCTAGTATGTGAGCATGTATATGTATACATTTGAGATGGAGACCTTAGATTCTAGGTTCCTTGAGGGCCAGGATTGATGTGTGGGTGTTATATAAATACCAATAACAAATAAATTAGATTATAAAAGGAATATCTATCTATCTATTCAGTCGTATCCAACCCTTGGTGATTGCATGGACTGTCACTTGTAAGCAAAAATTTTTCCATGAATTCTCTTAGCAATTATTTTACAGGGTAGGTTGCCAGGTCTTTCCCCAACACCTACCATGCAGGAGATCCCGAATGGCCAGGGATGAAAGTAGGACAATTTAGACAGGAGCCAATTAACCTACCAGCATGTCTTTGGAGTCTGGGAGGAAACTGGAGTACCCAGAGGAAAGCACAGGGAGAACATGCAAACTCCATGGTTGGGAATTGAACCCATGACCCATTTACTGCATGGCAGACATGCTAACCACTAAGCCACTGTGCCGCCCACAAAGGAATCTGCAATATTGGAAATGAATAATCATCTGCAGCTTTTGCAGAATGAGTCTTTTTAGTTAGAAAACAGTTATACTCTCTTGAAAATGTGTAACTAATTTTGCTAATCAAAGCCAAAAGACACAATGTAGGGCGCAACTAGAAGGGTGTTGGGATTATCTTGGTTTTGCCTTACAGTATATGTCAACCCTCCCTTTGTAAAATAACCTATTCTTTTACAAAGAGCTTTATTGAATAGTAAGCAAAAAATAGACAGACATTCGGAGCATAAATTCAAGGACCAACAATTATGGATCATATTAAATGACGAAGAACTTATTCAAGGCATGCATCAATAGAGACATAAGCTGAAGAATTAACATAGAAGCCTTGTAGGAATAGGTGAGGAAAGGGGTTATAAGGGAATGATTAACAAACCTTTGTGGGTCCATGGTAATGTAAACTCCAGAGTGAATTTTAGCTACATCAACATTATATAAAACATGGGAGGCCCAAGAAGAGGCCTCTCCAAAAAATTATTCATATTCATAACCTAGAGAAAGTATTGCGGATGTAGCGCCAAAAACAACAAGCACAATCTGTGAAATGCATTTAAGGACAAATTGAACAGCAGGAAAGGAAAAGACATGCAATAGAGAGACACGGACATCACAAACAACAACGACACCACAAAAAAAAAAAAAAAAAGGGGAAAGGGGGAGAAGTTGGGGCTCCAAGGGGATCACGGCAAAATCCAACTTCATATCGACAGGAGAGATTGATCGAAATCTCGAGGGTTGAGCCACATCCAACCAGGGGCGCCATATCTGCAAAAATTTTGTATGGGTATCTAACAATATGGCTGTCAATTTTTCATTAACCATGATAAAATTCATCCGGTTTTTGACAGCCTCAAAACTAAGGACAGGAGTCTTCCAAGCCCTTGCAATTGTCATTTTAGTTGCCATAAATAAGTGTGATGCCAGCTGCCGTTCAGAACGGAGAAGACCCTCCAATGGTTTAAATAAAAGTGCTTCATACGGATTACGCTTGATGTCTGTGTGAAGGATAAGGCGGAGAAGGGCATACACCCTAATCCATAATCTGCTTACTTTAGGGCAAGTCCACCATATGTGGGCCATGGTGCCCATTTGCTGGCAACCCCGAAAACAGACTGGGGAATATGTAGGGATAAAACTAGCTAGGCGAGCAGGCGTATAATACCATCGGTATAAAATTTTGTAGGCATTCTCAAGGATAATGACATTCCTAGAACATTTAGAGATTGCTTGGGTCATGTTCTGCCAGTCCTGTTGATCCAGGGTCCCCCCTAATTCAGACTGCCAACGCTGATGGTAAGAACGAATCGGAGGGGTTCTATAAGATATAATGGAAGAATAAATCAAAGAGATCAAACCCGGGGCATGAGGTCTATGTCTGCACTGGCTTTCAAAGGGGGACAGACGATAAGGTCCCGAATGTGTACGTATCAGTGTTTTTAGGAAATGATAAAGTTGAAGGTAACCAAAATGTTCTCGAAGAGGGATATTATAAGAAGAGCGCAGAGCGTCAAAGGTAATTATTCTAGTGGGAGATAGAAGTGAATGAACGTCATAAAAACCATGCGCCTGCCACCATGCAAACTGTCTAGGATTATCCCTACCCGGAGGGAATAATGGATTATGTAATAGACGTAACAGCGGCAGGTGAGGAGAGATAAGGCCAGCGGAGTATTTGATAGAATCCCAAAGACGTAGCGATAACGTCAGCGTTGGACTAAGGGTAGATGGACGTTTAGAAGGAGGAAGCCAGGGCAAGGAGGAGAGCGGTATTGGATGAGAGTCCATCATATCTACAACAGCCCACAGAGGGAAGTGATGAGATGCATGAACATGAGCCAAGGGGGCAATATTAGCCGCCAAATAATAAGACTGGAGATTCGGAACCGACAACCCGCCCGCACTCCGTCGCGCGAATAAGATATGTTTGCTGATTCTGGGTCGAGAGGAGCTCCAGATAAAAGACAAAAGTTTTCGCTGATGGATGCGCAATATATGCGAAGGTACTGGAACTGGCAAAACACGAAATAGGTAAAGTAGTTTTGGGAGATAGGTCATACGGATTGCATTAATTCTGCCGAACCATGAAAGCGGGAAATGAGACCAAGAGGACAATAACGTAGTCATCTCATGAAAAACAGTAGGAAAATTAGCCTGATACAGTCCATCATAGGACGGGGTAAGCTTAATTCCTAAATACGGTAATGCCGAAAGCCATTGAAAGGGGAACGTTTGCTTCAGAGTAACCAAAAGTGATGGTGAGAGGGTAACTGACATAGCTCTTGATTTTGCTGGGTTGACATGTAAACCTGAAAGAGCTGCAAAGGAATCGAGGACTGCAAGCAAATTAGGCAGAGTAATCCCCGGGTTCGAGATTGACAATAATATGTCATCTGCAAACAAAGACAATTTATGTTGGGAGGCGGCCACTTCAATCCCCTTAATATCAGGATGTAAACGGATGGCTTCGGCCAACGTTTCCAAGGCTAAGATAAAAAGTAAAGGGGAAAGCGGGCAGCCTTGTCTAGTGCCTCTGGCAACCGAGAATGTAGAAGACTCGAATCCGTAGTATCTAAGCTTCGCTTGAGGAGATGTGTATAGCGAAGAGATCCAGCGTAAAAAGGAAGGGCCGAAGCCAAAACGATGAAGGACCGATAAAAGATACGGCCAGGATAAAGTATCGAAGGCCTTATTGATGTCTAAAGATAAGAGCATCATATCAAGTTTACGAGTATGAGCCAAATGTTGTAATTGTAAAATACGTCTGATAGCATCTCCAGCCTGCCTGTGGGGAACAAATCCCACCTGGTCCTTTTTGATCAAACGAGAAAGAAAGGAATTCAATCGATTAGCCAAAATCTTAGTAAGAATCTTCATGTCGATATTGATAAGAGAAATAGGCTATAATTCGCCCAAGAGGAGTGATCTCGATCCGGTTTAGGGATCATAACCACATTAGCAGTTAAGGAGTCCGAGGAAAAATACGAACCTCCCTTCACCGCGTTAAACATAGCGGCAAGGTGGGGAGCGAGCACGTCAGCTAATTTCTTATAGTAAAAAGCGCCGTATAGCCGTCAGGACCTGGACGTTTGCCCGTTTTCAGGTCTGCTATGCATTGCAAAACCTCAGATATTTGGATATTACGGTCCATTAAATCCTTGTGGGCCGGCGTTAAAGTAGGCAAGGGTAGACGTGCTAAAAAGTCAGAAATGGACTGAGGGTCAGCCTGAGTGGGATCAGAGTAGAGTTTAGCTAGTCGGTGCCGGAACTCCTCCAAGACCGCTACAGGATTGCTCGTAAGGGTATTGTGGCGAGTGCGTAGAGATATCGGTTTGGGATGTTGTGCGAAAGAACGTAATCTACGGGCCAACATAGAGTCTGGTTTGTTTGCTTTGCTGTACCATTTCTGGCGAGTCCAACGTAAAGAGCGCTCAGCCTCATCTGTTAAGCACAGATCCAATTCTAAACGAGCCTGATCCAACAGTCTACGATTCGACGGGCAAGGTGACTGTTTAAATTGGGCCGACGCAGAAGCTAACTTTGATTCCAACTGAAGTTGTTTAAACTGTCTTTCCTTTTTTCGCCTCGAAGCTATGTGGATAATATGACCCCTAAGAACCGCTTTGTATGCTTCCCATAATGTTACCGAAGAAGAGACAGAACCCGAGTTTAATTGAAAATATTCCTGAGACTTGCGATGTAGCTCCGCCTGAATCTCCTTCAACGAAAGCAAGGAATCATTCATTATCCACGATGAGGAGGCCGGCCTGCATAGGAGAGATCGGCAGACTACCAAAATAGGCTCATGATCTGACCATGGAACCGTTAAAATTGAAATAGAGCGAACCAAAGGGAGATGTTTACGGGAAACGAATGCATGGTCAATTCTGGAATGAGAATGATGAGGATGTGAATAATGAGTGTAGTCTTTCCCCCGAGGATGAAATTCACGCCACAAATCTACCAAATCATGGGTATTTAACATGCGTACAAAGGACTTCGCTGATGCGGAAGGGTCAGAGCTCTCTGCTGGATATTTATCTAATGCAGGGTTTAGTACTAGATTTGAATCCCCTGCCATCAAAAGCGTGCCCCTTTGGTGTGTAGCCAGAAGAGAACATAAGTGTGACAGAAAAGACCCAGGGTTAACGTTAGGAGCGTAGTAGGATAGTATAGTAACATCTATTCCATGAATCGTGCCCTGGAGCAGAAGGTACCTGCCATTGGGATCAGCAATACGCCTCACACAGACAAATGGAGTTTTGCTATGAAAGGCGACCAATACACCTCTCTGTTTAGTAGGGCCATTAGCTTGAAATATCTGAGGGTAACGTGCATCAAAATATTTTGGGGCAGAATTAGTGGAAAAGTGAGTTTCCTGCAAACAAGCAATGTCAACTTGGCGAGCCCGGAGAAACTTAAATATCTTTACCCGTTTCTGTGGAGAGTTCATCCCCTGGACATTCAGTGATAACCAGTTCAACGACATGGTGATTTAAAAAAAGGAAGAGTAAATCCACCACGATCCCCGGGAGCCCTGGAAAAAAATATACAAAAACACAAAACACACATGACAAAGGACAAAGAGAAAGAGACGAAAAAGAAAAGAAAAGACATGAAGACATCTGATATACACGTAAGATACCTGTGTAACATGGAGATTGATTCAAACAATATAATTATCCAGTGTGGGTAAAAACACCCACATAAGGGCTAGGTAGCGGGCGGGACAAAAGACCATACCGCTAGCCAGCTCGGTGGGGGACACAACCGTCCACCGGAACAACTCGGCTTAAATATAAAATACAAAAACATTATATAAACAACTGAGGCTAATACACCCGCAACTAAACAACTCGAAACCTGCAAGACTATAGAGATCTCAACCAGTCAGGGCAGTGAAAAGAAACCTCTACCCCAGAATAGAGGAGGTAAAATACACGGAGATACAGAATCCCTGAACATATCCAAAATCAAGTTCAGAAGGTGGCAGAAAAAAAATCCACATAGGACTAAGCTGTATATTAACGACCAGTCTCTAAACATCAAGTTGCGGAGACTTCCTGAAAACGTTGGGCCCGTAGAGATTGGAGTGCCTGTGGGCCAGTTTGACTAGGAGATTTACGCGAAAGCTGGGAATTTTGAAGATTCGTAGGGAGAGGAATCTCCTCACTCTGGGATTGTGGCAGTTCCAGTTTAAGCTCCCTGAAATGACGCCGAAGATCCGCTGGTGAAGAGGCCTGGAATTGGCGACCTTGGAAGGAGAATAAGAGCTTGAAAGGGAAACCCCATCTGTACTTTATAGCAGCCGATTGAAGAATTTTAAGATAGGGTTTTAAGGTACGACGTTTGGCAATCGTGACTGGGGATAAATCCGCAAACAGATGAACAGAGTGACCCTGAAATTCCAGAACCGAACGATTCCGAGCCGCCTGCAGTAGACATTCTTTAGTGCGGTAATAGTGGAATTTAATAATAATGTCTCTGGGAGGCCCCTCTATGGGCTTGGGTGCTAAAGCTCTATGAATACGGTCGAACTCCAGGCGCTCCATGGGAATCTCAGGAGCCAATTCCTGGAAAAGAGCGGTGGCAGTACCATGTAAATCGGTGACTGCCTCCGGGATTCCACGGATGCGGAGGTTATCCCTGCGTGCTCTATTCTCGGCATCCTCCAGCTTATCTTTTAAAGAATCCAGTTCAGCATGCAGGTCCTCAACTTCCTGTTCATGACCTTCCAAGACTGTAGTCGCCAGATCCATACGTTGCTCCAATTGATGGGCACGGAGGCCCAACTCCTTTAGGCCTTTTGCCAAATCAGAAGACAATTTACGCGAGGCCGTTGTAATCTCCTTTCGCACTATAGCACGGAATTTGTGTAGCAGGGCTTCGGGATTGTGTTCCAAAGAATCTGCCATCCCTGATGGAAATTGCCGCTGACTATCACCATCTGACTCAGGGTCACCTGGAAGCTGGGTATTGTCATCCGGCTCAGGCGGGCTAGGTATCAGCTTAGCGACGTGGCCCTGTGAAGGGGAGTGCTGTTGGGCCCGATGTTTGGGTTTAGTGCGGGGAGTGCGATGCATTGCTGGGAGTAGTCCACAGGACTCCAAAACGTTGTCAGATTATTGAAGTGTTACGTCAAGGTGCAGAAGCCTAATGACCGAGGAAATTGTCACGGTGGCACGGCACAGGGAGGTGGCTCTGGCATTTTTTCCCCCTAGCACGTGTGCGCGTCCCCCACCGGGGAGGTGTTCACAGAAGATTCACATGATGCTGTAGTCAGTGAAATGTAGATGGTTATAATCACTGGGCCGGGTGTGTAAACTGTATAGAGGCTGCCAAAAGGTACCCCCTAGACCCCTGCTTTATCTACTTGTGGTGAGGGTTATGGACAAATCCATCCAGTGCAGCTGCTGCATCAGCTCAGATCCCTGGGGCACACTGGGGTCCTGCAGGGATATGTTACAGTCCACAGGGCCGCCAGGAGGCCCAGGGGGGTCCCCCCCACCTATCTCAAGGACTGACCTTAATGCCAGGGATGGATATACAGGGCAGGGATCCGGCTGTGCGGCGGTCCGTCCGCGGCGGTGATCCGCTCCGGCCACGGATTTAGGAAACACCGTGGCTTCACACGCCGCGGTAGGCCTCAAATCGTCCTGCGCCCCAGATGCTCGGAAAGAGGGCAGAATACCAGCACACCCCTCCTCGGGTGTCAGATGAGGTCCAGGCAAGCAGGGAGCAGCTGTAAGTGGCCCCTACACCTTGGATGGCAGCGGATGGAAGGTCCGGGTGCCGGAGCTCAGGGAGAAGCCGTAAAATAACCTATTCAGTTTAAAATAGAAATGAAAGGCAAAATGTTTGTGTAAATGTATAAAAAACATTAAATACCTTTTATCCCCCTTTTTTATAAGTGATCACATACCCTCTGTTCTTAGCTGCATAAGGATCTCAGGGAGGAAGAACAGCAGCATACTGGTCTTCCCAGTGAATGGCGGCGTGTGTGTGTCCTGGGGGGGTGCAGTATATCCTCATCATTGGAGGAGAGCAACCTCAGTTCTCAGCGCAGCTAGAGAAACTGACCATGCTGTGCTCTCCTGCCTAGTGTGCCCAGTTTTTATTTGGAAAGCAGAGGGACTGTCAGGAAGTAATACAAAGCGAACTGGATACTTTTCCATACAAGTACATGGTAAAGAAGGCACGTATCAGAATTATGAAATGTTGAGTTTACATATTGTTTAATGTAGAGTAAACCTTGGTTTAGGTTCAAGTCAACAAGAGCATTTAACCTGATTTCTCTGTCATATAACCTTGTTTCTCTGTGCCTGTTCAGGTGCCCAGAGATCAGAAAGGCATGTGATTTTCTGCTGTCACATCAAATGAAGGATGGGGGCTGGGGAGAAGATTTTGAGTCCTGCGAGGAGAGGAGATATGTTCAGAGTGCAGACTCTCAAATACACAATACATGCTGGGCTCTGATGGGACTGATGGCTGTAAGGTAAGTTTATGAACAGATGTTTACAATGCTAATGTTATGGAGTTTTCTTCAGGTATTGAGGTTAAAGTGTGTATGCCACTTCTGAAACAAAGGCACATCCTATAGGAAAAAGTCACTTTTACTTTTTAGCCTCACACTGCCAATGATGAGTAATCAGTAGTGAAAAATCAGCAGGTTTTGCTTCCTTATTTAAAGAAGAATTACAGGTGTTGATATTTTTATATAGTAGATTGGTCCAGCTTGGACCAATGCAACTATGCATATACCATACCTGTGGAATACTTCTAAAAGCTGATAATCACTGTAGTAGGTACCATCACAGTGATCTCCACTAGCTTCCAGGTCGGTCGCATGCAAGTGGCTTCCTTGTTGCATTGCATTGCACTGGAGGTCAGCTTCTTGGCACAGGTGCCATTCAGAGAATGCTTTGGTTTGAAAATGCAAAGCCTCACCTCTCCACCTCATCTAATCATGGAACACTCTACATTAATTGAAAGAATGCAAAGCGATTTCTGAATGGTGCCTATGCCAAGCAGCTGATCTGTGTTAAAAATGCAGCAGGGCAGACACTCGGCACAGGAACCAGAAGCTAGTGCAGAGCACTAGCAGTGATTTCCAACTTTTAGAGGTACTCCACAGGTATGGCTTATGCATAGTTGCATTGGTCTAAGCTGGATCAATGTACTATGTAAAAATAGCCATACCTGGAATAATTGTTTAGGCCTGGTTCACACTGATGCGATTTCAGATGTGTTTTGGGTCGCACATAATCATATGACAATGGAAATCACATTCATTTCAATAGTTCATGTTCACATCAACGCAACTGCTATGTGACTTTATGGAGGGGTCCTGTGCTACTTTTTTGTGATGCAGTGCAATATTGTGCTACATGGACTTCAAACAAAATGCATCACAAACGCATATAAACGTTTTTTCTGCAATTCTGGTGCATCAAGTCGTACTGCAGTTGCACTGCATAATCTCATTGGAAATCACTTGAAATTGCAGTTGCTGTAGTGTGAACCAGGCCTTAAAGGATTTGTTCCTTAACCTCCTTAGCGGTATTGCCGAGTGTAGCTCGGGGTAAAATTTGAGTACCAAAAGCGGTAACCCCGAGCTACACTCGGGCTTACCATGCAGCATTGCTCTGGGAGTCCCTGCAGCACTTACCTTGTCCTTTGCTCCCACGATGTGTCCCCTACAGCGTCCCCGGCCATCTCCTCCGGCCGATGCCGGCTTCCGTATTCCGGTCCCTGTGACGTTGGGACGTACGGGCGCCGGAACCGGCGCCAAATTTGAAATTTTAAAAAAATTTCATTTTTTTTTAAAATGATTATTACATAGTAAAACATTGCTGTTTCAATGCATTTCACATACATTTTGTCCCTACTGCTTTGTCCTGTGCCCTGCCTGCATTTTGACTGTTCTTTCTGTCTGCAAACTTAGAAAAGTCCATGGCGTCCAAAAAGCGTCCCTTTACGTCAAAAGCGGTTTTAGACCGGCTAGAGAACAGCGATAGTAAATCAGAACCACTTGCAGAATTGAGTGATAATGATTTGTGGGGAAATTCCTCATCAGACACTGAAAACGATTTTGCGACTTTGCTCAGCGATGTGTGAATTTCCCTCTGTATTTCAAATTTCAGTGTTTTTGGTTTGATTATATTATTGAATTAAATTTATTATTATTATATTATTATTTTTTATGATTATTTATTAAATTATATTTATGATTTTGTGTTTCAAATTTTATCATACCCGGGATGTTTACTAGACTCTTGTTCGTACAGATTTCAGTGAGTTATTCCTAAAAATTACAGCCTACAATAAAAAACTACATATTTCCATGCAAAATAATGGTACCGCTTTCAGCACAAAAAATCGGAAATAATCAGACCGCTAGGGAGGTCAAAGGCCTTAACCTCCCTGGCGGTATGATTATTTCAGATTTTTGGTGCTGAAAGCGGTACCATTTTTTTGCATGGAAATATGTATTTTTTTTTATTGTAGGCTGTAATTTTTAGGAAAAACTCACTGAAATCTGTCCGAACAAGAGTCTAGTAAACATTCTGGGTAGGATAAAATTTGAAACACAAAATCATAAATTATAATTTAATAAATAATCATAAAAATAATATAAAAATAATAAAAAATTTAATTCAATAATATAATCAAACCAAAAACACTGAAATGTGAAATAGAGCGCCAAGTTCGCACATTGCTGAGGGTCGCAAAATCGTTTTCAGTTTCTGATGACGAATTTCCCCCACGAATCATTATCACTCAATTCTGCAAGTGGTTCTGATTTACTATCGCTGTTCTCTAGCTGATCTAAACCGCTTTTGACCTAAAGGGACACTTTTTGGACGCCATGGACATTTCTCAGTTTCCAGGCAGAAAGAACAGACAAAATGCAGGCAGGGCGCAGGACAAAGCATTAGGGAATGTATGTATGTGAAATAGGTTGAAACAGCAATGTTTTACTGTGTAAAATGTAAAAAAAAAAAAAATGACATTTTTTAAAATTTTTAAATTTCCCGCCGGCGGCGGCGCCCGTACGTCCCGACGTCACAGGGACAGGACACAGAAGCCGGATGCCGGCATCGGCCGGAGGAGATGGCCGGGGACGCTGCAGGGGACACATCGCGGGAGCGCAGGGTAAGGTAAGTGAAGAACACTTGCCGGAGCAGCGCCGCATGGTAAGCCCGAGTGTAGCTCGGGGTTACCGCTTTTGGTACTGAAATGTTACCCCGAGCTACACTCGGGAATACCGTCAGGGAGGTTAAAGAACAAACAATGCAGTATATTTCAGTTTACCAGTTTCCCTGGATGTGGTGGCTGCATTAATTTTTATAATTTCAGAATAACAACATTTTCGGCAAATACAGAAAATAACGGTTGATCTTGCCTGAAATTCAGTGTCGATGTCATTTCCTAAGAGCTGAACTGAAAGCAACATTATCTTTTCTTCCTTTTGTAAGGCTAGGTTCACACCTGTGCATGTTTTAGCACATCTTCAGAAGCACAGGAAGACATGATAATTGATTTATGGTTTCTTGTGGGTCACATTCACATGTACTGTATGCAGTTTCCTGCAGTGCAGTTTTGGAATAGGTGCAGGAACTTTTTTCTTGCAGGAAAGTGTGTTTTTGGGTCCATGAACGTCTATAGAAATGCATTAAAATGAATGTACATGTGTTTGTGGTGCATTTTTGGAAGGATTTTGTGTTTAACAACCAATCTTTTCCTTCTTACAAAAAAAACATGAAGCATGAAATTGTGCAAAAAACACTCTGCAAAAACACACCAAAAGATGCATAAAAAGCAAATGCATAGGAGTGAACCTGGCCAAAACAGATTACCTTTCCACACTCATGTAACAGAGATGAAAAGAGAAAGATGAGTTTAAAGTCCAGTGTAGGTGACAACCAAGGTTCCAACTATAGATACAGTGGAGTAGTTACTTGGCCCCCTATGATTATCCTCTAACTTAGTACAGTACCTTATTAAATCACTGATCTGAAACACACCATGTGGTAAATGAAATTAGAACCCATGATGTACATGCCTGTTAGCTTGCATGGTAAGTAACTTTAAGTATTGCAGACATTGGGGGGATGATTTACTAAAACTGGAGAGTGCAAGATCTGGTGCAGATCTTCATAGAAACCAATCAGCTTCCAGGTTTTATTGTTAAAGTTGAATTGAACAAGCTGAAGTTAGAAGCTGATTGGCTACCATGCACAACTGCACCAGATTTTGCACTCTGCAGTTTTAGTAAATGAACCTCTGGATGTCAGCTTGAAAAATATAATTTTCAAAAAAAAGATTCCTCTTTCTATTTTCTTGTCTTGGTATTTTATTTTTATTTGCCTTTATCGAAATCTATATCTGTTCATGCTAAAATTTTCTAAATTGTATTTTGGATGCTTTTCACTCTTCAATCTTGATTTTTATTGTAATGGCTACAATAATGGTCATATTCCTGTAATACCGTGCAGGTTCCCAGATGTCAATGTTTTGGAGAGAGGCATTAAATTGCTCCTGGAAAAGCAACTCATTAATGGAGACTGGCCTCAGGTATAAATGCAATGACTACACAAATGACTGTATATAGAATACATATCATGATGAGCCATTGAGGCCTACGCATCCTAGAAAATATCCTTTCCTGTAACAGCATAGTCTATCACAGCACATTGTAACCCAAATGCTACAGGTGCTTGGGAGGCTCCCATAACCCACTTAAAGTATATTTAACCCTAACAATGATCTTGCTCCCTTTGGTCTGTTAACTAGATCATTACAAGTGTTTTGTTATAGCTGTTCGATCTGTGAACCTGAAAAAACTTCCTGTGCTCTTTGCCTCTGCTGCACTGTTATCAGTTAGAATTGATCCCAGCTCTCTTTTGGTGAACTACAAAATACCCCCCATGTCACATAACAGGGAAGAAGGGGAGGTCTTCTGTACTCCTAACACAATTACAGCATTTTTCTTCATAGATACATGGTGAGTGTTGTCACCCTAGGACAGGGAGTGTGTTGCTGGCAGGATCACTGATGGTGGTCTCTGTCTTCCACCTTATTCATGATATTATTCTTCCTTCATTCCTTATGTCATGCTCTGAAACATCCCAGGGATTTCCTCTCAAAGGTTCCCAAAAGGGTGGCCCTGTCTCTCTCTCTCCATCATTTCTAGACAAGTTATTGTTAGATAAATACTAAATAGACTCCTGCGCTGCCATATCTAATCAAGTATTATTATTGATTAAAGGATAAGTTCACCTTTTGTACAAAAATAACAAATTAACATTTTTTTGCAGGTAAAAAAATGTGCATTTTATTATTTTTGTCTGCAGGAGCTTGTAAATCAATGCACCAGCGATCAGCAGATCATTGGTGCTATGCAAGTCTCCTGAAGATCTGTCAGTATATCTGCTTGCCCGTACGGGATGTATGAGCATGCAGCTATACTGACAGGAAGATTCAATGAACTACCACGGCGTTGTACAGTGCCTTGGTGGTTCATTCAAAACTACAAGCCGACAGCCGCTAAGGCTGTCGAGACTTGCAGTTCATTCAACTCTCTGAATGAATGATACGGCTGTGAGCGGAGCCCCGCATGGCCGCGCTGCTTTCAAATCTGACAGCACTGGGAACTTCTCTCCATACTTCTGTCACATGGGGGGGGCGCAACGGGCAGCGACTGCTTGCCCTGACTGGGACAAAAAAAAGGCCTGGGCATTTTAGACTGAGCAGCCCTTTTTTTATTTGTATTAAACCAAGTGACAAATAATGACAACTAAACAACGGTTTCTCTATGTCAGTAAAATTTGTTTCTTGAAATACTCCTTAGCTGGAAGTTAGTGCGGTTATAAAGGGGATGCCTCTGCAGCCTGTTTTGCCAATGTCCAATCACCTGAATGTAGCTGCATATAACCCAGTTGTAATGCCAGTAAAGTGCCAGTACTGGGGGGTAGGGTGGAATTAGCAGCAGTGCTGGGAGGTGGGGTGGTATTAGTGTCAGTGCTGGGGAGGGTGGATTTAGTGGCAGTGCTAGCAGGGAGGGTAGAGTGAGTGGCAGTGCTAAGGGGAGGGTGGAATTAGTGACAATGCTGGGAGGGGAGGGTGGAATTTGTGACACTGCTGGGGGGGAGGGGGAGATTAGTGGCAGTGCTGGGGGAGGGGTGGAATTAGTAATGGTGCTGAGGGGGGGGGGGGGGGGAGTATTTATATATGGGATGAGTGGAAGGTGGCTTCTCCATTAGGTTCTATGAAGAAAAGGTCAGGAAAGCACTGTACATTGGCCACTGGCTCAGCGAATATCAAGGTCATCTGCTGATCTGAGGACTGTAGTGGGGACTATTAATGGCAACTATTATCACTGACAGCAGTACTCACTTTGCTTACAGCTCCTTGGTCTCTGCAGCAGTGACACCTATGCTGAGTTAATGAGAAGGGGTTTCCTCCAGCTCCTCCCCCTTGCCCATGCTGTGAAGTGAATGGGAGGTCACTGAGAGGCTAGTCACAGGTCTGCTGACCTCCAGCCATGCTGTGAAGTGGATAGGCAGCCGTTGAAAGGGTGGTCACAGGTCAACTGACCTCTAATCTCCACCCCCTGGCCTTGCTGTGAATGAAGCGGCTGTGAAGAGGCTGTGCGAGTGGGCAGCCGATGCGGGCTCAAAAGACAGTCCAGCTGCCATAGCTACTTTGGGCTCCACAAGAACATGCAGCCCTGCCCACCGGGCAAAAGCCCAGTGTGCCCTATGGCCAGTCCAGCACCAGCTGCAGCATTGGGAAAATTTTACATGTTCCACCCTAAAAACAGGAGGAAAATGTAACATTTTCCCATAGGTGACCTTATCTTTTAACCACCTCCTAACTTCAGTAGCTTCTGTGCACTATATGCCACTTTCATGCATTTGTGAAATCAGGCATGAAAATACAATTGTGCAGCAGCTCAAAGAGACTTTAGGGTTGATTTACTCAAGGCAGATAGACTGTGTACTTTGCAAAGTGCAGTTGCTCCAGAACTTAGTAAATGAGCAGAAGCTCTGCCGACTTCTATCATCCAATCATGTGTAAGCAAAAATGCTGTTTTTTGTTTAAATTTCCTTCCTTCCTGCAAAGTGGATCTTTACCTCATTTACTAAGTTCTGGAGCAACTGTACTTTGCAAAGTGCACAGTCTATCTGCCTTTAGTAAATCAACCCCTTTGTTTTTTTGCTGTGGGATGGTTACATGGAATTTACATTTTTAATGGCTAGATGTACAACATTTTGAGGTGTTGCTAATTTATTTGATGTTTGGTTATTAATATTAAGTACTATTGCAATTATTTGTATTTTTAAGTAATTGGTAGAGCTTATAGTCTGAAGGATAGGGTTCTTCCCTAACTATTTAAAGGTAAACTGTACCAGATCTGTTAGTGCTGCATGGGCTTTTCAGCATCAAATATGCAAGGCAGCCTACTGTTCACACTTTGGTTTAAGAAAAACTCTGGGCAACATTTTTATTTTCCCATGCAGCGGGGCTGTGCCCGCACTGCTCGGGTTAACTGCTTGTTTTTGTCTAGGGGATTGCAGAGTGGAGATATACTTGTCTAATTTGCTGATCCTCTGAGTACAAGACAGGTCCCCATCACTCCTGCCTCCTACACAATAGTGGTCTTGTGAATGGACTATTCCTAACGTCTTCTCACCCATAGACCAACTCTGGATGTGAGGACAGCAAGAACAGTCCACTGCAGGACGTGGTGGAGTGCGGTTTTCCGGAGGGTCTAGTAAGTATAGCCTTTTGGTGCGCCCCTAGACAAAACGATCAGTTAACCCATGCAGTGCAGGCACAGCCTCACTGCATGGGAATTTTTTTATTGGAGTTCTTGAAGTTCTACCAGGTGGATGTTTTCTGATGCCATTTTCTGGAGTAAAGTTCTACAGGCTGCTCTCTGAGCTAATCGGGTCTTTTGTGACGTGTTGTTGCATAGGCTTGTTAGCGTTGTTTACTGTGTTGCCCACCTCTCAGTTGCTTTCGAACATTCCATTTGTACTGTTTTAAAGAAGCCTGTACTGTATGATCAGGAAAATTCAAGTTTTGACTTACCAGTAAAATATGTTTCTTGAAATACTCCTTAGCTGGAAGTTAGTGCAGTTATAAAGGGGATGTCTCTGCAGCCCGTTTTGCCAATGTCCAATCACCTGAATGTAGCTGCATATAACCCAGTTGTAATGATTTAAAGAACCATACTGTACTTAAAAAAACTGATTTTACAGGCAATTCAAAAATCTTTTTTTTTTTTTAATGGAGAAGGGAAGGACTAGAACCCTAGCTATTTTTAAAAGGCTGACTGGGTCCCTGTTAATTCAGTTTCCGAAATGTGTTAATTCTGTTTAATATTCTTACTTCTTATTCTGTCTCACATCTTTTTCAATTGAGAAATAGTGAGGATATACTGTATTTTCCTAATGGGGACGCAGGCAACAATAAAATTCTGACAGAGCTTCTAAACCTTCTCTTTATTGGGAAGGGTGATTTTGTCAACTTTTGTGTCCTTGATAGGGAGACTTGCCCTGTTTTGCCTTACGCTCAGCAAATGGAAAGATAGTGAGCCAATATTCTCATTAAATATACAGTAATGGAGGAGATATCTCTCCTCCCAAGTAAGGGAAACAAAGCCATATAGAGATGGGATTCCATACTACTGTATATATAGGCTGGAAATATGCTTTAATATGAACAGGTTGCAGCAGAAGGTACTTTAATGGCCTGGGTATTTGGACCAAGCTCAGTCCTTAACAAGCCTTTTAGCCTTTACATATGTACAGCTATAAATACAAATGTTGTTAAAGTGAAAATTCACCTATTACCATTTATATTACTTATATTCTTTTATATATTTTTTCTGCCTAGGAGAATATATCAGGTGTGTTTAACAAGAGCTGTGCTATCAGCTACACCTCATATCGGAATATTTTCCCAATATGGACGCTGGGGGCGTTTTTCTCATCTTCATCCTAACAGCCCTCTGGCTGGCATCCATAAAGCTAGATACGGCTGATCCTCAGTGAATACAGGAACAGGACTCTTACAAAACCTGTCTACCTCCCAAGATCTTCAACTACTAAAATGGTTCATTTGTTAATCGGTTATTAATTTTTAAAATCAAACCTGACAGTATTTTTTCAATACATTTCTTACTATCAATTTGTGCAATATTAAAAGGAGAGCTACAGAAAAAAAACAAAAAAGCGCACATGAAAAGGAAAAGAAAAGAAGTGTATGCTTTATGTTTTTGGGGAATCAATTCAATATAAAAATGCCTTAACTTTTTTTTTTTTTTGTGGGTAAGCCATTACACACATTCCAATTTCATCTACATCAACTAAAAACTTAACACCGTGGGTAGATAATTTTTAAATAATAACCTCCACTGTGATGGAGTACTACTTCAGCTTACAGCCAGACAAAGAAACAGCAACATGATATGAAGCTGTATGAGCTGAGTTTTGATTGTTAGCCTTCTGATAGTAGCTCTCCTTTAATAGTAAATTGTTGTATAATAATTTCAAAACATGCTTTACTTTTGTCTCTTTTAGTTCAGGCAACCAAGGTATATGTTGCATATAAACATGGAGAGATGTAACCATGACATCTTAATTGTTGAAGTAATTAGTACATAGTGAAAGAAAAGATAACTTGACACTACTGCTTTTTATCTTTAATAAAATTAATGTTTTTACAATAGCTATGCTTTATTTTCTCATTAATTTTACCTATATACATAAATATTTCTAGGGTTAGCCTACAATGAATGTAGATGTCACAACAGCCAAAGGCACAGTCCTATTAAATGCAGGGACTTGTCTAATTCCTTTGAACATATTTAAATGTTGGGCACACTCACTGGCAGCAAAAGTATCTGGATGGGCCTGGAAATTTCAGTCACTACATTGGCTTAACAAACCAAAGTCCTAGGCTAAAAAAAGACTGGTTCTCTTACATAATTTTTATTAGCCAGTCATACACGGATTGTCCTGCAACATTATGCATTCCTGAGATGAGCACTACTTGTTCTTGTTAAATATTCCATAAGAAAGACTGGACTTCTCTCAGGATGCAAGCATAGATTCTAAGGGGTTTATTTACTAAAGCTGGTGAATGCAAAATAAGGCTCACTTCTGCATAGAAACCAATCAGCTTCCAGGTCTTATTGCCAAAGCTTAAGTTGAACAAACTGAAGTTAGAAGCTGATTGACTACCATGCACAGCTGCACCAAATTCTGAGTGCTCCAGTTTTAGTAAATCTACCCTTAATTGTCTGGAAGGTCACACATGGAAGATGGCTATTGTGAACTAGCATCTGCTGTCACATGTGTGAACACTTGCTGCCACCAATCGGACTATTTTAACTGAATAGTTGCATATGGCCAGTGATGACCTGTCTTCAAAAGTACCTTTTAATGGGTGTCCATTATTTCCTGAATGACATCCTGATATCCACCCAGCTTGTCTTGACCTGCATCTGCTGTCTATTCCAACCTTGGCTTGCACCATGATCATGCTTCCGCCTCTTCCTCCCGCTCCAGATCTGTTCATCTAATACCCACTTTGGCTTGGAATCATCTGACCTTGCACCTACTGCTGATTCTATACAAGAACCACCTGCCAGTTGCTGACCCAGCTTGGCTGACCTTTAAGTAGAACCTAACCTACTGCATATCCTCTACTTACCTGCTTGCAAATCCACTTACTGGCACCCCTCACTGTTTGAGAAGTTGCACTGAATGTTGCATTGAATGAAAGTTGTGGCGACGTGTCAGTGCCATGAAGGAGTTGTATTCTCAGGTGTTCTTACTAGCAAGTCTATAGAAAAAATTGGTGGCCACGTGTATAAGGAAAAGCCTATGAGAGATGTACAGAGGTAAAAGGCAAGTCCTAGAACAGGTATGAAAACAGGGCACCAATGCCTTTATTTTGTTAAAGAAAACATGTTCTTTTATCATCTTTGTATCAGCTAATTATGGGTCCAGCAATGAGCTAATATACCTTAGATGACAGCCATTTTCATCCTTATTCAGTTGTCACCCAGCGGATTCCTGAGTAGACGCTACATGCAGAAGCCTTTAGAGGCCTTCAAATATTTATTTGGTCTAAGATGTTTTTCGATTCCATTATCTTATCATTTAAATATTATGGAAAAGTCACATGCTTTGCTGAAGTACTCCAACAGCCATACTGTTGACACTTGGTGTACATTCTAATGAATAGGACATACCAGAGGAAGTAGGTAACATTGATAACCTTCTATATTACTGGTACTTAATGTTAAATGACCACTACAATTTGCTGGGTAATCACATCAACTAATTTCTGCATACCTATTGATGCCAGTTGAAATGCATCTTGTATATGAAAATGATGTATTAAAATGGTCAGTATTGTTACTGAATTAATTGCTAGCAGCCTTCCTGCTCGTCCAAGACTGGTTCAGACCTGAGGCAGTGGCTAATCAAACGTTTAACAAAACCTCTACTTTAATATGTACAGAGAGCAATACATAGGCTGCAATTGGTGATCTATGGAAAGGCAAATTGTCTGACATATGTCGATCTCATAGCTTTGATACTTCTCGAGTTGCTGACCCATAACAAGTAGGTCAGGTGTTCTGATTTCTCTGGCTGCATGCTTGTGCTAGATTAGTGATTTAGAATGCACTGGAGCCAGAAGAGACATTGGGATTTATTTACGAAAGCTGGAGTGTGCAAAATCAGGCTCAGCTTCCAGGTTTTATTTCCAAAGCTTAATTGAACAAGCTGAGGTTAGAAGCTGATAGGTTTCTATGCAGAAGAGAGCCTGACTTTGCACTCTCCAGCTTTAGTAAAGAAACCCCAAGGTGACTAGTATTTTGAGGACAGCAGTGGATGAGTACATATCTTAGTAAAGGTTTCATTTAGCCAATTTATATTTTAACTTTTCAATGATTTCTAGTAAAACAGAGAAAAAATATACAATAACAGATGTAATTACCCAGAGAAACAGCTTTGATAGCAGATTTCTGCTTGTGTAAATAGCGTAGGGAATGTTTGGAGAGGCAAGGTATTTTATTAAATTCTTAACTTCCTGTCCCATTTGGAAGGCAAGGTAATCTATCAGGCTTAAGCTGGCCATACAGTACGCCACTAACCTGGAAAAGGATGTCCATTTACAGATGTTGAGGCACCTAATCTGCACATGCTCACTATCACTGTCCAGGCCCTTCACTGGTTACCTGCTTGTTTGGATCAGGTACTTATTAAGTAGTGAAAACCAAAGCTGGCTATACACCGATTCCTCCATCCTCCGTCTTCACAAATGAGGACATTGTATTCTGAAAATGTACATTGCAAATAACATTTATGCTTAAATGTGATTGGATTTACCTCATTCTCAATGTCAGGTTCATTTTCTTTCTAAAAGGGAATTTTTGCTTAGTTTAGTTAAAGAGGTAAAGTTGTGCTTGTGGCAAAAGTGAGGTGTGCATGGAAAGAATAGCTGAGTCATGGTGCACACAGTTCTACCCTCATTTTCCCCCAAAACTTACAAGTTGGTAACAAAAAACAATCAGATTTAAACTGTTGCTAAACCCAGGACCCCACATTCACTATATATAGTCTCCCACAGTACAAATAAATGGACATGCAATTATTTTAGTAAATATAAACTGCTAGATACCTTTTCTCATCAACAGGTAGAGCAGTTTTGTGACTTATATCAGTGTCCTGCAGAGCACTGGGTAAAGCTTGTAGGAGGAGTTTTCATTCTCCCCTGATTGTCCTATGAAGCTGCATAACCCCTGACCCTCTGTCTGGACAGTGCTGATTTGTCCTTTGCTGATCACATGCACTCTTCCAAGAAAAAAAAAACCTCTGTAGCAATATACACCAAACTGAGCATGTACAGCTTTCCCCAAAGGCTCTGTTCTATCAACAGATGGATTGAGGACAGTAGAAGAAGGGGAGGATCAGAGAAGACAACCTTTTTACACAATGCAGAGGATTAACCCCTTAGGTTCCACAGTGAGTATAACAAGCATGCTTTACTGCATATACAGATTGATTTTACTGTTGTGGGTTTAGTGACATTTTAAATCTAATGTCTATGCAAGGTAGTTTTGTAAAATGACACAACTGACAAAAGAAAATATTCCAGTTTAGAAAACATTAGACCATGCCAGCTAAGAAATAGTTAGGAGATACCATAAACCTTCACTACAAGGTCTGTAAAAGACTCTTATTTAATCCCTGTTGTTCAGATGAACTCCGGATTTTCATTGATGTTTGGCAGGAGTGCCAAAAAAAGCATAGCTGTTTGCCATAGCTCTTAAAACCAGGGAATCACCCATTTCCATCATGTCTGAGGCCCAAGGGGAAAGGCAGAGGTTGTTCACTTGCAGTTTGTATTCCAGGTCAAGCAGGTTCTGTATCCACAGGCCAAAGTGGTGGTCAGGGTGCACCTTCGGTCATTTACAGATTGGCATGATGTCATCTGCAACTGCAAATGTGCCCAATTCTTCCTCCTTTTCCAAACTAATACTGACATTGCCCCACAACTAGCATAGAGAAGTAAACTGAATTCACACTTCAACCTCCTTTAAAGCCCACTGCTTATTTCTCCGTGTTTCACTGAGAGGGAGTCTTCGTCCTCAGGTAAAGTCCAGTACAAAGCAAGAAGATGGCGGCACACACTCCCATACTCTGAATGTATCCCATATTGAAACTTTACAGGTCACAAATAAATGAAGCATACATCACTTAAGCTTAACCGCTTCTTCTACTCATTGTACTGGAAGACAAAACGAGCTGCAAGGAAACCTGCACCTGGTGCCATGTGTATGATATCCTCTCGATGATAGGATAAAGTCTTCACCAGTGTGGGTCTCCAGCCTTTAGATACCACTGATTAGGTTCCTGGTCCTGCTCCCTATACTTGCAAATGCTTTAGTTTTGTGTGGTTTTAGAAAGAGCGTCCACATATTGGCTTCTCCTATGTCGCATGGACTACACTGGCAACATAACTTCACCAAAGTGCCCACTTCCAAACAACTACAGCAGCTACTGCAAAAAAAAAAAAAAAAAAAAAAATGTTGGTGGATTCAGCATAATAGAGAATAATCAAATATTTTTGGGACTCCAACTACAACAGTTACAGATTCATTATGGTCTTGTGTGTTGAGGACAGAAACAAGTCAAAGTGATATTTCAGTTTTGTTTTCTTGCGTTAATGTTCAAGCTGTTTTGAGCGTCTGAAACACAGCACAGGCATAAATCTGAACTCCTATGGTAGAAAAACAATGAGAAGGTAAAAGAATAAGCAAACAGAGCACACAAGGTAGCATAGCTAAATCACCTTTGAATGAATAGTGTAGATAGAAAAGCATTTACAAAGAGATGTCTTTATCAGGACAAGTCAACTGGAAAACCAATGGGATACTGGGTCATATCAACAGGTGCAGGACTAGGTAGCTGGCAGAAGGAGAGGTAGAAGCAATGTAAACACTGAATCAATGAGGACATGATACACCAGTGCAATTTTATCCACATTTTTATTCATTGAAAGGTGATTTATCAGTAATAACCAGGGCAATTTGTTTGCATTTTATTATACCATCAGTAATATGGTCTTTGACTATAAATGGACGAAAAGTTTTGCATTGGCGCTAGTGAAGTGCAGTACATTTGAAGATTCAGATATCAAAGAATTAACTAACTATAATAATCAAGGGCATCTGCTTGTTTGTAAAATTTACACTTTACTATGTACAAAGATGTAAAAAAACACTACTAAAAAATATTCCAGGTTACTGATAACTCCGTCACTAGTGGTCAAAATGGTTTGTGGTCAAGGGCTTTAGTGCAGATCCAGTGGCTTTATTTATTTCCCATAGAACCTCGTTTTCTTTATCAAACATCTGTTGGCAGAAACAATGAATATTTGATTGGTATACTATGAAAGGTTTGTATTGAACATAGAACAAATAAACTTGCAAAGATGTGCAATATAAAATATATTTTCCTGTGAAATTAAAAGATATCAGGAGACAATAGAGACTTTTGTGACCCAAGTTACTACACAAAACAGCAGTCAGAAGGTACTTCTATTGGATTAGGAGGTGCAAAAAAAATAGGAACAGGAACTATGGTTCAATCTGAGCTATGACAAAGTGTGTGTTAAGCTGATATCATAATATACATTTTTTTTTTTTAGTTTTGCTGTAAAATTTTAAATTCTAGGTGTGCTATTTTCATGGTTTTGTCATTTTTTGTGTGTGAATATACCAACCTGTCTCCAGTCTTCTTGCCGGTCATGAGTATAGCCAAGAAGATGGCAAAGGCCATGCACTGCTGTCACCTGACAGAGAGAACACTCAAAAGTGTAAGTATTTTACAGTGCCTTGAAAAAGTATTCCTACCTCTTGACGTATTCCACATTTTGTAATTTTACAATCAAAAACGTAAATTTATTTTATTAGGATTTTATGTGATAAACCAACGCAAAGTGGCACATAATTGTGAAGTGAAAGGAAAATGATAAATGGTTTTCAAAATTGTTTACAAATAAATATCTGAAAAGTGTGGCGTGCATTTGTATTCAGCCCCCCCTACTCTGATACCCCTAACTAAAATCTAGTGGAACAATTGCCTTCAGAAGTCACCTAATTAGTAAATAGAGTCCACCTGTGTGTAATTTAATCTCAGTATAAATACAGCTGTTCTGTGAAGCCCTCAGAGCTTTGTTACAGAACATTATTGAACAAACATCATCACAAAGGCCAAGGAATACACCAGACAGGTCAGGGATAAAATTGTGAAGAAGTTTAAAGCAAGGTTAGGCTATATAAAAAAAAAATATCCCAAGCTACATTTCACTGAGCACTGTTCCATCCATCATCCGAAAATGGATAGCGTATGGCACAAGTGCAAACCATGACAAGACATGGACATGGCAGTCCACCTAAACTGACAGGCTGGGCAAGGAGAACATTAACCAGTGAAACAGCCAAGAGGCCCATGGTAACTCTGAAGAAGCTGCAGAAATCCACAGCTCAGGTTGGAGAATCTGTCCACAGGACAACTGTTAGTCATCACAAATCTGGCTTTATGGAAGAGTGGCAAAAGAAAGCTTGTTGAAAGAAAGCCTTTGTATTTGTGAAAGAGTGTGGAAAGAAGTTGGAAAGAACTTTTTGGCCCAAAAAGCAAAACACACTATGTGTGGCGGAAATCTAAAGCACATCACCCTGAACACACCATCCCACCTGTGAACCATGGTGGTGGCAGCATCATGTTGTGGGGATGCTTTGTGGGAAGTTTGTCAGAGTTGATGGGAAGATTGATGGCCATTATAGGAATCAGAAGAAAACAAGAGTCAAAAGACATGGAGTGGAGGTGCAAGAAACGAAAATGCAATGGAATGTTTAGATAAGCAATTCATGTGTTAGAATGGCCCAGAAAAGTTTTAAATCCAATTGGAATCTGTGGTAAGAATTGAAAATTTCTGTTCACAGATGCTCTCCATCCAACCTGTTGTATGTTGCAAAGAAGAAAAAAATCACTCTCTAGATGTGCAAAAGGTGGTAAGATGTAGCAAAAAGACTTGCAGCTGCAATTTGCAGCAAAAGGTGGTTCTACAATGTATTGACTAAGGGGAGGCTGAATACAAATGCACGCCACACTTTTTAAATATTTATTTGTAAAAAATTTGGAACACCATTTATCATTTTCTTCCACTTCACAGTTATGTTCCACTTTCTGTTGGTCTATCACATAAAATCCCAATAAAATACATTTATGTTTTTGGTGGCAGGGGTATGAATCTTTTTTTCAAGGCACTGTATGTTTTTCAATTACTTCAAGTTACATTCAGTAATATGTTATAGGTAATTATATTATTATTTAGTAATATATATGTATTTATATATCTACAATTCAGTCACCTTGCTTTCCTAATATCTTACTAGATTAATCGGAAGTTTTTCAAAGCAGTTGAAGTAGCACTCTACTAATGCCCATGGATGCCATTATGCTTAACTTCTCATGCAAATGAATGTATGAAAATGTATGCAAATCAAAAGATGTTGTTAAGTTCTTAAAATGGACCTGTGCCCACATACACACTAAAACATTTACATATTCGGAACAAGCAGTAAAAGCATTTCAAATCAAGCTCACATTCACTTTTGTGGCTGCGGGTATTGTGGAAAAATTCATCCTCAAATTTTACAACAGAGCCACTGAATTCTTTGTTTTTTTTTCTGGAAAATAAAATCTCAGCCTGTCAGCCTTCTAATGTAAACAATTATCAGGTGTTTCTAATCTTTGAGAATGAATAACTTCACAATACAAGTAGCTAGAGTTGGCTTCTTTTAAAACTCTTTTAGTGCTTGTGAAGAATATGTAAATACTTTAATATCTATAGACTGGGCACAGGTGCAATTTAAATTCAAACCCCAGGAAAATGTTTTTTTTTTTTTTAATTTATGGACTTTCATCTAATCCTGGCGACGGAATACAGCCAGATCATACATATATAAGGGCAGCACAGTGGCTAAATGGTTAGCACTTCCACCTGGCAGTACTAGGGTCGTCGGTTCAAATCCCAACCACGGCACCACCTGCCTGGAGTTTGCATGTTCTCCCTGTGCCTGCGTGGGTTTTCCTCCGGGTACTCCGGTTTCCTCCCACACTCCAAAGACATGCCGGTAGGTGAATTGGCTCCTGTCTAAATTGGCCCTAGTATGTGTATGCATGAATGTACATTAGGGACTTTAGATTGTATGCCCCTTGAGGGTTAGGGACTGATGTGAATGTACAATATGTGCGTAAATTGACGGACCTTTATAAGTACCTGAAATAAATAAATAAATAATATGCTTGACTGACCTGTTAAGTCTATAGTTGGCTTTAGGTTTTACTGGTAGTAATGCAGTAGTAATCCCTTCAGAAAAGATTCAGTGTTTACAGGTGACTGTTTACAGTCCATTATGAATAAGAAATAAAGTGTTTCTATTAACATTTTTCCCCAAACCAAATAATGCCCATTTATGAACAACACAAGATATATTCACCGTTAGGATGCTGTTAAAATTCTCTTGTGTTTCTTGACACTGTTTATATACAAATTCAACACCGAGGTAGATATCACCCAGGTTATATTCATCTTGAAATGATGGCTTGGGCAAAAATTCAGGATGGAGATCCTACAAATGTGTAAGCACAAAGTACATGGACTGTAGAACAAACATTTAAACTATCAGAATAAAACTGCTGTGATCCTAGAGAATGTTGTTTATCTTTGTACCTCATGAAATGGGAATGACAGTACATCTGTTGCCATGTCCTTTTTTCTATAACTTTTATTCAGTTGTCTAATCTTGGCATCATTGACACATATAACGGCCACATCAAAATGTCCCACTCTAAGGCAGCTTCTGGCAATCTCTAGATTCTTGCGCAGTGGAGCTCTGCGGACATGGATCACACGTTGTAGGTTCCTTATGAGTAGAGACATCATTCTGAAAAAAACAAAAAGCTATACTGTAGCATAGGCACACTACATACTATACAAAGCAGAATAAATATCAATATCTGAGTGCTATGGACAACAACACCTTCATGGTCTTTTGAAAGCTTGTGGCCTGGGACTGTCAATATAATAGCCATCAACTGAGACAAGTCTATAGACAGTTTAAAAAAAAAAAACAGTTATAAAATTGTGCCACAGGCTTCTTTTTCAAATTAAATAATACAAAAGTTTCCTATCACACTTAGACCTCTCGCTATGGGGCTGTATAAGAGTAGTGTGTGCCTCCCAGCATTTCAGTGCACCTCACTGCAGGCAGCCTCTCAAAGTCTATAGCAGGCCACAGCTGTATGGGACCGAATGCTGTACTGAGCGGTTCCCTGCATTTTAGGGCCCTGTGCATTGAGGGATCAAAGTCTAGATCACTGAAGACGTGCATTTCAGACCTTAGCCCCTGAAAGCATAGATCCCTGAGCACCAGTGCCACTCGGTATAGCGTTTAGCCCCGTCCAGCGGCAACCTGTTCTAAATTTTGATAGGTTGCTGACAGCGGGGCTGGATGCTGAACATGTCCCTCCTGGGCACACTAAAATGATGGGGGGGATGCACTGCTCCTACACAGCCCAATTTGCAAAAAAAAAAAATTACACTATCTAACAAATTGCTTTTAGTTGCACATGTCTGCATAAATATGTGGACACCACACTACATCATCAAGGCAGGATGTAAGGATAGTACCTCTATGCTGGGGATAATTCTCAGTGCTGCAGAATGCTGCAAAATCTCACTAGCAGAGAGGATTCAGTGACAGATCAACTTGAAGAAACAGTTTATAGAGTGATCAAATATTGCAGAGTGCAAAGATGGTTTATGACAGGGGTCTCCAAACTTTCTAAACAAAAGGGCCAGTTTACTGTCCTTCAATCTTTGGGGGGGGGGGGGGAGGGGGGGGGGGGGGGACTGTGGCCAGCGGGAGTAGAAAATGTCCTGGTGTCAGTGGCAGTAAAAACTTCGCCATGACAGGTGGCAGTGGGAGGAACATTGCCACACTATTGGTATCAGTGGGAGGAACATTGTCACACTATTGGTGTCAGTGGGAGGAATAGTGCCCCATCACTGGTATTAGTGGGAGGAATAGTGCCCCATCATTGGTGCCAGTGGGAAGAATAGTACCCCATCACTGGTGCCAGCGGGAAGAATAGTGCCCCATCATTGGTGCCAGTGGGAGGAATAGTTCCCCATCATTGGTGCCAGTGGGAGGAATAGTGCCCCATCATTGGTATTAGTAGGAAGAATAGTGTCCCGTCATTGGTGCCAGTGGGAGGAATAGTGCCCCATCATTGGTATTAGTAGGAGGAATACTGTCCCATCATTGGTTTCAGTGGGAGGAATAGTGCCCCACCATTGGTATTAGTAGGAGGAATAGTGTGCCATCATTGGTGCCAGTGGGAGGAATAGTGCCCCATCATTGGTGTCAGTGGGAGGAATAGTGCCCCATCATTGGTATCAGCGGTAGGAATAGTGCCCCATCATTGGTATCAGCGGTAGGAATAGTGCCCCATCATTGGTGCCAGTGGGAGGAATAGTGCCCCATCATTGGTATTAGTGGGAGGAATAGTACCCAATCATTGGTGCCAGTGGGAGGATAATAGTGCCCCATCATTGGTATTAGTAGGAAGAATTGTGTCCAGTCATTGGTGCCAGTGGGAGGAATAGTGCCCCATCATTGGTATTAGTAGGAGGAATAGTGTCCCATCGTTGGTTTCAGTGGGAGGAATAGTGCCCCACCATTGGTATTAGTAGGAGGAATAGTGTGCCATCATTGGTGCCAGTGGGAGGAATAGTGCCCCATCATTGGTGTCAGTGGGAGGAATAGTGCCCCATCATTGGTATCAGCGGTAGGAATAGTGCCCCATCATTGGTATCAGCGGTAGGAATAGTGCCCCATCATTGGTGCCAGTGGGAGGAATAGTGCCCCATCATTGGTATTAGTGGGAGGAATAGTACCCAATCATTGGTGTCAGTGGGAGGAATAGTGCCCCATCGTTGGTGTCAGTGGGAGGAATAGTGCCCCATCGTTGGTGTCAGTGGGAGGAATAGTGCCCCATCGTTGGTGTCAGTGGGAGGAATAGTGCCCCATCGTTGGTGTCAGTGGCAGGAATTATGCTCCACTGTTGATGACAGTGAGGGAAGAATGCCCCAAGGGCCAGATAAAATGAAGCAAAGGGCCACATCCAGCTCTCGGGCAGCAGATTGGAGACCACTGGTTTATAACATACACAATAAGGCCTCATTCACATGACCAATTAAGGAAGTGGTGCAGCACTAAGACCACAAGTGTGTGTGTGATCCGGCCAGGAATCCTGTACAGATCAATGACAGGCTTACAGGCGCCATGGCTGGCTGCATGTAACTGCACATCATGTGGTTACATGCTGTTAAGAACAAATTAGCGGCCTTGGATACAAGCTGTCTGCGTACAGAGCCGCTCATCTCTCCCAAATCACAAGAAACACCACAATGTACGGTTGTATGCAAATGCGCTTGGTGCCACTCACCTTGCAATTGGTTTATAACAGAACTCCTGATGGCGGCTGATTGCACACACCTGTGATCCCAGTTGCAAATTTATTCTGATGCTTGCTGCACCACTGCCTTAACCGGTCATGGGAATTAGGAGGCAATGAGGATAAGTGAGAAGTAAGATACTGCATAAACGTCACTTCCAGGATACAAAGTCAGTGTTACCAGGCAATAGCAGCACATAAAGTAAGAACAGACATTGGTAACCATATAACCTACTTTCTGTGTGTTTTGGATGCAGAAAAAAAGCAACTGAAACGCATGTAGTGTGATCTGGCCCTAAAATTACATTCACCAGAGGCGCTCTGTCACCGCTGACAGGGCTTCCATCTTCACCTGGTCTTCCTTCCCGATTTGTGGGCTCTGGCCATGTGACTGGCTGAACCGCAATGACGTCACACCCAGGGCATAGAGCTCTGAAGGAACGGCACAAGTATGCGGTTTCTTCAGGGCGCATGCATTGGTGACATCACTGGCTGCTGCTCACGGGGAATATCTCCTAAGTGGTGCACATTTAGGAGATACTCATTTTAACTACAGATAAGCCTACCTGTAGGTAAAAGTGCCAGAAAGGACTTCACTACCACTTTAAACCTCAAAGCAAACATTTATTATATTGCAGCTTACCAATTCTTAGATGTGATGGCTGCATTAGTTTACTTTTTTAGGCTTTCTTCTACTTTCATCTGGTGATCCAGCCAGTAAGTTTGTTGATTTTCTAAACGACACGCTCTCCAGCAGAATGTATCAGTTACAAAGATGAGACAAATCATTTACCTCTGACAGGGGGTACTTAGAATGATTGGCTTTTATTTATTAATGTAAACCTTTTTTTCTCAAAAGGAAAAAAAAAAAAACTGTTTGCTGTAACTGCTTATAAACTATTAGCTGGGGTTTGGCTTCCATTTGTTAGTGTATTTAAATCTGCTAGCACATCTACAACTCCCCTTCTCCCAGATTAATAATGCTGCTGTCCAAAATGTGCCCCCTGTGCTCATTCATCCAGAATTGGGGCACTGTAATACAGGAGATGTATTAAGCCGGCCATACAGAGATCGAATTCCAAAAGAATTTTCTTTTGAACATCTTTTTCTAAGAATTTTCATTCGAGTTTTGCACCATTAGTGGGTCAGAGAAACGGCTGATTTTCGAGTGACCGGGGCATGTTGGAAAAAACGAACAAATTTCGAATCAATGATGGTAGAATTGTGTGTGAGAAATATAAACAAAAAAGAAACGAGCATGATTAGTGACCTGGAAAGAAAAGAAAATTCCTGGCCACGAAAATTCATTTCTGTAGCAACACGAGGTGAAATTGAAGGCTTGGTTGGTCGAATTTCGAAATCAATGGTGGCACCATCTGATTACAAAATACACTAAATTTCAGATTTTCCAAAGAAAATTCGTTTGGAATTTGACCCATGTATGGTCTGCATTACTGGCCAGAACACCAGGTGAAAACAGAGGAGAAAAAAAAAGCCTAAACAATAAAACGAATGCAGCTACCGCAAATAATGACCGGGCAATCTGAAATAGATCACGGTTTTGGGTTTAATACCACTTTAACCCCCCTGGAGGTATTCCCGAGTGTAGCTCGGGGTAAAGTTGCAGCACCACAAGTGGTAACCCCGAGCTACACTCGGGAATACCCTGCAGTGTTGCTCCGGGATCCCTGTTTCACTTACCTTGTCCTGCGCTCCCGCGATGTCCTCCCTGCAGCGTCCCCGGCCATGTCCTCCGGCCGATGCCGGCATCTGTCTTCCGGCTTCCGGTCCCTGCGAGCGTCAGGACGGAAGGGGGGCGGAACTGGCGGGAAATTAAAAATTTTTTAAAGTGACATTTATTTCCGGTACTTATATAGCACTGTCAATTTACACAGCGCTTTACACACATATATACATATTGTACATTCACATCAGTCCCTAACCCTCAAGGGGCGTACAATCTAAGGTCCCTAACTTACATTCATACATACACATACTAGGGCCAATTTAGACAGGAGCCAATTAACCTACCAGCATGTCTTTGGAGTGTGGGAGGAAACCGGAGTACCCAGAGGAAACCCACGCAAGCACAGGGAGAACATGCAAACTCCATGCAGGAGGCACCATGGTCAGGAATCAAACCCATGACCCATTTACTGCAAGGCAGACGTGCTAACCACTAAGCCACTGTGCCGCCCATTCACTAAATACACTAAAATCACATAGTAAAACATTACTGTATCAAACCATTTCACATACATTTTGTCCCGAGTGCTTTGTCCTGTGCCCTGCCTGCATTTTTACTGTTCTTTCTGCCTGGAAACTGAGAAAATGTCCATGGCATCTAAAAAGCGTCCCTTTAGGTCAAAAGCGGTTTTAGACCAGCTAGAGAACAGCGATAGTAAATTAAAACTACTTGCA